GTACTGCCCGGTGTATTTTTCTAACATTGTGGCCAATTGTTATGGTAGGACAAAAAAAAAAAATCAATTTAGGATGTCTGAGTCAAAACAAAGGCCCTCTTGTCTTAAAGCCAGGTCTGACTCTTGCCTTTTTATTTGAACATACTGACAGACTTCTGACACTGTTTCTACTCACAATACCACTTTATTGCCAAAGTTGGAGGCTGAATAGAACAAATATTATGGGTTGCATGGAGGATTGCTGCACGAGGATACCAGAGATCATGGTATTATTGATGTCAGTCACCTTGAAACAAGCCACTCTGCAAAATGTCACCTATAAAATTCAAAGATATTTAATAAGTGGGAATATATTTTACATAAGGGCATTTTTTTTATTTTTGTTGGAACAATGCCGCTACAGTTTAATAGGTAAAAAAATATATGCGTCATGGCAGACGGTTGAGTTTCATTGTCTCTGCTTGCCCACTTCTGCTGTGTGAAAAGCTTGGCACTGTCTCTATCCAAACAATGAGTACCGACTGACTAAGATGGCATTTTATTGCATGTGATGTCATCCAACACTCGAGCTTGCTTTTGCTCTTCACAGTTGTGATATGAGTGGGCATGTTCAGAGGAAATGTGTGAAAGAGGACTCCCAGGATCAAGTACCACAGGTGTGTCTGAACGTCAGCTGATAAACATGCACACTCGTCAGGTCAAATATAGCCTCAGGTGAGCATCAGAACTGGGTGTCACCTATTATTGAATGTGTTATATCTGCCCCACCCTATATCTGAGTGAGTCTTTGGACTCGTTATTCCCTGTTTTACTTTGAAATATCTGCTCATCTGGCTCTAAACTAGTTTTTGTTCATTTATGAAAGTAACTTCACTGCATTTATCTGCCTTCGTGTGTGTCTGCATTTGGCTCCACAAATCACTGAACTGTGTGGTATTTTAGCTGACAGGTTTCAAGGATGCAGTTTGTTATGTTTTTTAAGAGGATGTGATTGAAGTTATGTCATAAACTATGTTGCAACCCAGTCTGTGCTCAGGCGGAAGAGGTTTGGGATGGGAAAAAACCCATGTGGACATCATGAAGTAAATGCTGTAAATGTGGCTTTTGTAATGTGTTTATATTTTCCCCTTGTCCATGAACTGCAGCTGTCATGTTGTTCTGTTTAGGCACAAATCATTTCACTGTTAATGCTGTGTATTATCTAAAGTGGCTGAAGTACAAAAGCCCACAGGCGACCCAACGGAGAGAGGCTGGGTCATTGTCAAGATGTGGGCTCAGACATGTGAGCGAAGAACAAAGGAATTTAAAGTGTTACAGATTAACAGATAAGCATTAGTACAAATGTATGACTTCACAATTTCATTGGCACTAGGCCCTGTGGCCTTTTAGATTGTGTTTCGTTGTCATTCACAGGTTTAACAGAGAAAAAAACCTTCACTTTAGTCTTTCGTTGTCTCCGTTTAAACAAAGTAGAAAGTAGCTGAACAGCATAAGTATGCTTGTGTTGCTTTAAAACTTTTCCAAAGTATTTTGAAATAGTCTGTTTATGCGTTGTCTGTCCTGCTTGTAAAAATTTAAAAATGTTTTTGGCAACAAAGGAAATTATTACCTTTTGGTGGTTATCCAGCTTGGCATCCAACAATAACTAGTACAGTTTTAGCCATAAAACTAATAAACAAAGACTTTAATGACTTCAGATGAAAGTTAAAGTTAAATTCAGTTGTTTTCTGTGTAATGCTAAACTGGAGAAGAGTCCTCCCTGGGTATTAAAAAGCTCAGGCCAAGCAAGGCTGACTTAACCCACGTGAAGTCAGTATTTTCATTTTTCTGTTCCTTTCATATCATCCATTTTTTAAAACTTCAAACCATTTCTCTTCTGATCACGATCCAGAGCACAAACTTATCTTATCTGTACTGAAACTTGACTAGCAGGCCAATCATGCCTTCGTGATGACATACACCAAGTGGAAAAGTACAGACCCCCTCTAGCTCCCATGCATATTCTCTCCTCCGCCGCGGCTATCACTCTCCTTTCATGCGGGCAGCCTCGGTGACATCACCCCCTGAACAAGTCTTCCAAGTCGTATTTACTGACTCTAATAAAATGGAAGATATCTAACAAGGGCGATCACCAACCAGGGCCTGCGGTGAGAAAGCATCAGGTTTTTATTAGCGTCTTGGGAGGCGGTGATATCAGCCATCAGGCCAGAACTAGTTTGTCTTCAACATCCACCCTCAAAGATGCAAATAAAGGAAGGTGGCGCATATAAAAGAGCGTTCAGATCAAAGCTGAGGTTTAAATTATTTGTAAAGGATGTGGGCAGCACGCAAGATCTGAATGAGAGCTGTGAGGAGAGAGGGAGGACTTCCAGGGTAAACAACATAAGGAAGGTGTTACAGTAGCCTAATCTGACTTGGTTGGCAGAGGTGGGACACCTGGTTCAAATCTAATCTGACAGTGACTGTGAGCAAACAACGTTCCATCCTTTATAAATGTTTATAGTCTAAAACAGGGCATACACAAACAAGTTTTCCCAACTAAAAACTAAAACTAAACTAAAGTCATAAATTTTACTACATTTTTTTTGCGGTAGACGATATATAGAATAAATTCTTTATAGCCTAAAAGTGTACAAGCAAACTTTTAGCAAAATTTAAATGATGCTATAAAGAATGCTAAGAGTGAGCTTAGTTACAAAAGATGTGATTTTCAGGCTAGTTTTCTCGATGAAGATCCACAGTCTTAAATCACAGGATTCTTCATGTATAGATGTAAAGCCAATTGATATGTTACACTACAAAAAGCTATAACAATAATTCCTCTGTTATTTCTATGGTAGATCAATCAATAATCATTGTTCAACGTGGCTGCAAATGGTGCAGACCTGTAGCCTAATCCATTTTATGTTTTTGCAGGGTCTGTATACCTTAAGGCTGTGGTGTAAATGTCATACAGTCAGAGTAAGAGGTGGATTTTTGGTTCTGCTGTGGATTGGCTGCTGGTTTGCCTTTACACGGCATGACTTGCAAAAAGATGTTTATATGTATTTCGTTCCCAACCGAAAATGAGCCTAAATTAAAAATAATATCCCACATTTCCACATGTTCCAATTGAACACGACCAACATTTAAGCATACGGTGGTGTCGTAGTCACACAGTGTCCTCACTGCACACATAAATCACACGCTTTTAGATCCACTCTCCCAGCAATATGGGGAAATGGCATTTTAAAGTTAGCCAAACCCCTTGAACTCCACCCATCTAGCCTTCCGTGAACACCACCCAGCCCTGGGCAGAATTTATCTCTGATTTCAAGCTGCAACACATTAAAACTCTTCCTTAGATGACTTCATCATGAAACCAGAGCTCTTTTAAAAGCATCATTAACTATGTCGACTCCAGGGCTACCTCTGCCATATGGAGCCCCGCTGAGTTGTCCCACAGTTGGCTCGAACGCTGGAGTCACACTGGAGACACATGAATGAATGCGTTACTTTAATGTTTCTATTTCTAAATGTTATGTAATTTTACTGCATGGGTTGATATTTAGTGAACACTAATTTTCAAAAGGGCTGCATTGTAAAATGAGGCATGCAATAACCCCAGTTTCATTAGATTCACTGAGTTTTGTTGCAAGTGGCTGAACTGCTCCTGAGAGCCGTTGGACCAGGTGCAGAGGTCACGTCAGAGGTTCAGCAAAGTGAAGAGTGAGAGTTCCTTTTTTGGGAAAAGCTTTCACCAGTGGAAGCAGATTCTTCCCTCTGCTCCCTCCAAATATTTTCTCTGCTGTCTGCCCCCCTCCCCAGTAATCCCCACTCCCCTCACGTACACACGCCACCCCTGCCATTCCAATCAGTCAGCCCAGCATGTGCTCTGTTGAACCCTAGCCACCATTAAGGAGTGGTAGGGGTCATCATCTGCTTGACTGTTACTTGCCCCCCACACTTGTCATAACAGCAGCTCTGAGGTTTAAGGAGCAGAGCGACAGGGATGTTCTGCTCCATTCAGCTGTAACCTATGTGACAACTGCTCCTCGTGGATGGGGAAAGAGGAGGCTCAGAGCTGAGGAAAGCACTCTCACTCCTGGACAGACTGCGCTAACATGAGCCTCTGAAGCTTGCTCTCCTCAGTTTTGACCAGACTACATTGGATTTTTATTTATAATCTGACTCTGACTGACTTTCTTTTTTTTTTTTGTCCTGCACTTTTTTGCTCCTCAGGGCTGAATCTGTTCCTCTGCACTTCCACGAGGTGGAGGTAAGGTAAAGGCCGTGTGGGTGTGTGTGAGTGTGTTTCAGCTGAGGATATTACCTCATAGAGGATAAGCTGTGATTGAAGAGGTCTAACAGAGGTCTCTCACTCTGACTCCATTACTCTTATCTGAGCAGATTTTCTGTTCGGGTTCAGAGGGGAAGTTTTGACAGCCAGGCTTTACAGCCCCCTCTCAGCTCTGTTGCTCCTGACAGAGAGAAAGAGAAAGAGAGAGAGAGAGTGGAGAGGTGGTGACTTCATCCCCTCTCTTAACCAACCCTCCTCTTTCCCCCTCCTTTTTTGAGTTGTCTTTTTTTCTTTTTCTTTTTTTTTTTTTCTTGCACAGCACAGTCAGGCAGCATGCCAGCAGTTTTCATCTTGCTGCGGTCCCTGGTTATCAGGCTCCTCAGTAGCAGACTGGCAGGCTCAGTGGCACAGTTCCTCAGGAGAAGCCTCTCTACAGGCGCTGCCCACCTTGGCACGGCGCTGCGCCACGTCTGGGACCGCATTCGATCCCAGGAGTCCAAGGAAGCCATCCTGGGCTGTGTGCTGTGCATTCTCAACATGCACAAGAAGGTGGAGAACTGAGCTCTCCCTCCACTTTCTGTTCAACCCTCTTCTCTACTCGCCTGCTGAACAGAGACTGGACAACTGTTGAGTGAGGAGAGTGGACAAAGGGATGTGACAGACTTTTTTAAAAGCTCATTTGGACTTCAGTTTATTTTGTTTTCTTATAAGGACTCTGGTCATGTCTGAAAGCATTGTGAGGAAGGTGCAGCCCTTCACCATTGGGACGAGACTGTCAGTCCCAGCTGTGCCAAAATGCCAGGATTTCACACAGAGTTATCTACAGAGCCCGAGTCTGGATAACTGCACGTTACAGCACAACCTGAACTCGCTCTACCTCAGCCGATCCCAGGTCTGTGCACATGGCCCCTGTCTCGTCTCACCTATCGTCAAGCAGGTAGCCCCGGTGAAACGCAACCAAGAGCACATGGCAGCAGAGGACCACCTGAACCAGAACATTGCCTCCCCCTCCACTGTCTCCAGATCCATCAAGAAGATCACAATCTCTGGGAAAGAAAGATCAGAGAACAAGTTGGCAGTGGGACCAGCACAGCTTTCCATCACAGGGTCCACATCTGAAAACAACAATAACAACAACAATGTCACAAGCACATCAGATCCACATCTGCCCAGGATTGTGGGGGTGAGCTGTGAGAATAAATCCAGTTCTCAATTTAAGGTACAGTACACACTTACTAATAAAAAATATGCAAATTCTAAAACAAAGGAAATACTGAATATCACATATGGGTGTGTTTTCTTTTATATTGCAGCATAATTAAATGGGACTTATAGGAATAGAAATTTTAATTTTTACTCAATAGGACAAAACTTAGGTTATCAAAGATGTGTGCAAAATGATGTTTTCGTCACATAAACTACATACATGAAATAAATAGTCATTTACTTTCAACAGTTTAAAAAAATGCTGGTTATGTTTCTTCAAGCAAAGAAGTTAACCTCAGAGTTAGCATGGAAAGTGAAATACACTCCTACTATACTACTTCGTACAATTTTTCAGAGGAACCCAAAAGGTTTTCCTCCACATTACTTGTAGTTTAATTATTTTTGAGGTATTGGTTTAAGTAGAATGTCTTTTATAACATATTGTTTTACACTTTTATTCTATCATAAAGTAAAACTTTGTATTTATTAATCCAAATTGATCGGGATATTTGTTTTTAAGCAGAAAATGTAACGTTCGTGGTAGTTATGGAATTTTCCATAGGCACGTGCACAAACGTCTATAAAATGCTAATTACAGTTTGCCGTTTGTTTCTTGCCTGCCACAGTTTTCATCGTCCTGTCCACCTTGTTTGCCTCAATTGCAGTTTATTCTCTTCTTTGTATTTTAGGTTTTACTCAGAAAAGACAGCAGTGATGAATCTCAGCCCACACATGGACAAGCCAGGGTGAAAGTGAACGGAGAGAAATCTGTCCAACAGGTAAGACGGAGCTATGCTAACTGCTAAATTAAAAACGACAAATAGCTAGCTTTGGAAAAAACAACGACTTTTTTTTTTAATTCAGTGGAAGGACATTTAATCCAGAAAGCCACTGTATGAGCACCAAAATTTTCTGATATTGGGTTTTTTGTTGTAGACAGTGATGTTATTTTTCCCAACTTTATCCAGACTGTAGAAACACAGTTGTTTTGTTGTGAGGCAGTGGGGTCTTAATAGCCAGCTGTGGAGTTGATGAATCTCTTGGAGTTTAGGAAGTGAAGTCATGTGGTGTGTTCGCCAAACTCAGTTTATTATATTATACATTTGGAGCAAAGTTACACAGAGGTGGAAAACGAGTTGTGGGAGCAACGTGTCTTTGAACACTTCACAAATAGCCTGTTGTTTCCTCTTGTTTGGCTCTAATGTATTATCGAAACAGTCTACAGAAGAAAAACAGTGTAAGTATATTGTAGGATATTGTTTAAAGTCAGTGGGCTGTTGGATTTGGCCTGTTCCTAGTTGAAGTCATCAGTGTGTGTTGTGGATGAAGTGCTGTGTTACAGCAGACCCCGCAGAGGCAGGGCTCACTGGAAAACATGAGGTCAGGGAAGATGTTAACAAAAGAAATGGCTCGCTGAAGTTAAGTCCTTATGGAGGCTGGTTATAATAACACTCTGACACAGCAATGGCCTCATTTCCCCTTTTAGGACAAAAAACTACAATAATCATTCACATCATCTCTTTTTCTGTAACCACAACAATACCTTGCTTTTCCTTTGCTCATACATTATTCAAGCAAGTGGCAAAAAAAAAAAAAAAAAAATGCTTATAATTACACAAGAGAAGGTGGTGGTGCCTTTACCCGTTCAGGGATGGAAGAGTGAACATGATCTACCAAAGGCCTTTAAAGGTGATATGTTTACATGTAAGGCTGACAGTAAAAAACGTCAGACATCCAAGGATCTGTCCACTCCTGCTTCCTTCATGTGCCCAGATGTTTCCTGATTGGAGAGCAGCAGCAGGCTTGTCCATTACTTAAGCTGTGCCAGTCGTGTTCATTTCATCTCACGCAGTGCTGACAGTAGGTTTTTGTTAAGAGGGACCTTGGGGCCAGTCTGACACATGTTGTTAATGTCTCTGGATGGGGAAAAAAAAGGTATAATTAACATAAATGGACACTTAAACATCCCATAATTGTGCTCACTGTATTTACTTCTTACAGGTTTTTTCAGATGCAAGCATCATCTTGTGTTCAGGTTTTATCTAGATAAAAAGGCTGATTGCAGCTGATTTCAGTCAAATTGCTATCATGTTTTTAACACTTTGTTGTCTTTTTTGGGCGCTCACACAGATTTCATTCCCTGAATCGCAGAAGAAAGAGCCTCAGAGGAAAGAAAGTCATCCACACACACAGAATGAGGCCTCAGCAGCTGCTGTCACATCCCAGAGTGACTGCTTCACTCAGCGTAACTCGCTCTTCAACAAGGAAGTACTGCAGGTAAAATATGACATGCATGCATGTAGTATGCATTAGTATGCAAACTAAAAAATAATTAATAAAATAATTTTGGATCCCTGTTCATGAAAAGCTACTGCTGCACTTTCTCCCCTTGCATTTCTGTCTTCCCTCATATAATTAGAGACTAATAAAATTTTTGAGGAGGGTGTTTTCTTTTCCACTTCACTTTTCCAGAATATGCATATTTTGCAGATGGAGATGTTTAAAATCATTTTAGAATTACACTTATCAGAATCTCTCATTTCCTCTGATGCTGAATGAAAAGACACTGGACTGGGTTCATCTCAAAAGCAACAAGTTATGCTGCTGAGATGAAATCAGAATGAAAGCTGTCTGTCCCATGACTGAGAGCAAAATATGTACTGGTTCTTATTTTGTCCCGAGAACTGTATGAGCTGTGTTCAGCTGAGGGAAGAGAGGGAGGGGAAACCGCCACAAGTGAAGCAATTATTTAGGGATGAGATCATTGTTTGGCTCCATCTCTTCACGCCTATGGCCCAGAGAGACTCAGCCAAGCAGCACAACTGGTTGTGTTATCTCATCACTGCTTTCACCCCGGCATACAAGGACATTTTTCAGCGAGTTCGGCAGAGGGACATTTTTCAGCGAGTTTGGCAGAAGGACATTATGTCCAGCAGTTGGCTTTGTCATCAGATCTCTGTTGAGAAACTGTCCAAGTGATAGGCCATTTACTCCCAATAATAAGAAATTAATACTGGACATGTCAGCTGAAAGAAACATATGATGTATGTATGTGTTGAAAACAGCTCTGTAGCACGTCGTTAATGTTAACAAGCTTAGCAGCCCCTTTGCTCTTACTTGGAGCTTGCATTTCTGTTGCTTTTAGAGGAAACAGCCTTCAGTATTTCAACTTTATTTGAGAATGTACTTTAAATAGCTGTGACGTTTTGGTGCCTGGGGATCTACTTGTTTTACAGGGATTTGGTTAGTCAAGTCAGATTTTATTCATAAAGCCCAAAATCACAAATCACAAATGTGCCTCAAGGGCCTCAACAATCTGTACAGCATTGCTACACTAACTGTCCTCAGACCTTCAAATCGCACAAAGGCAAAAAAACTGCTATTACCAATGATAATGTGTTATTACAGTATCACATCACTGTGGAAGTGGAAGTAAGGTTTCTGCGGAGAGCGCGGCTTCATTGAGGGCCATCTGTCTCTGAGGCTGCTCTGCAAAACATCTCGCCTTTCACCATTTTATATTCATGATAGACAAAGTAGAGAAAACTTCCACTTTCACATTCTTTTCAGGGCCAATTTGCTTTACTATGCTAAAAATTTAGCTTGTTGGTGATCATTTTACAAAGAGTAAAGATGTACACACTTTGTGAAAAAGTGAAAACTTTGTTTTTCAGTTAAAATGCTCAAATTTGGAACCTTTGAAGCTTGTAGCAATTAAAAACAGTCAGTGGTACCCTCTTACAATCACCAAACTTGGAACATATTTTGAAAAGTTTGTTCTGTGTTAATTGCAGTGGTATTTTCCTGTGTGGCAACAGATTTTTTGCAGAACTTCAGAAGCAGTGTTACAGTCTGAACTGCATGCATTAACTGTCTACTCTTCGTGGCTAGACTAAGGCCCAACTGTACATTTCGATAAACAGACCATTGTTGTGGAGAGTGGACAGGAAGAAACAAGGGAATCATAGACTTCCTGTATGAGGTCATTATAATGCCATGGGACCCAGTGTGAGGAGATAGGGGCAGGCCTGTTTTGTCAAGCTCTTTTCCTTCTGTTCAATCCAGAAATACCTCTGCTTCCCCCGGGGGCCTTGTAAAGTTAATGACCTGCCTCTCTGAGGAGAATTGACATCACATTTTAATCTAGAACAAAGACTTGTTTAGTGTGCGGTCTTGAAAGGGCTCGTGTTGAGTCTATTATTCAATATAAATCACACTGAATTTCTTGGGAAATAATGCTTTGATGTAATATTGTAATGACTTTTTTGTGTGCTTAATTGTTATTTGATATTCTGCAGAGTACACAAAAACAACACTGTGTAAAATAAAGTTCTGCTGATTTTATCAACTGTATTATTCATTAAGGATCACTTTGAGAAGTGGAAGAAACTGAGTTGATTTATTAATTTATTTAATTATTGTGACTTGGGTGGATCGTGGACTTCTCACACTGGGTTCTTTGCAGAAAACAAACATGTATTTTTCAACACTTTCTGACTTTAGCCACTTGGTTTTCACTTCTCACTCCATACAAATATTGCCAGGGAATTTACTAAGCCTTATGCAATCGAGTCCAGGCACTTGCCAAGAGAAACTTCTGCTCTGCATAATATGACATTGGAGAACAAAGGGCTGTTCTTGATGTGTCTGAGGCTCCATGTTACTCTAGGAAGAAAATCTGACCTGTTTGCTCTCCTGATCAGCAGAAACAAGACTGTGTTCACCACTGTGACAACCACTGTCATAGATGAGTCTTGGGGTGTGAAAGGTCTAGATATAAATTTCTATGAAAAATATTACAAAAAAAATCTGATAGTAATTTTGTCACATTGCAATATGTGAGATTGATGCATACAACTCATCTGTTGAGCACATTTTTTTCACATGTACATCACAGCATCATTTCACTTTTAGCACAGAATAAAATAAACAGAATTCACTTCCAAATCAGTTATTATCGCTGCGGTAACTAGAAGGTCATGCACTTCTCTTAAGTTCACATTGAATTGTTGCACATCTGTAGTCAAATAACACTGTGGATATGACACTTATATAAAGAGTCAATGCTAATTAATATACAATCTCAGCCATGTTATGTTACATCTGGTCTCTGAAGCTGATGCATTCTCAGAAATAAGAAGATGAATCAAGTCTATAAACAGACCTAAGTGGTCGACTGTGCTGTGTGTAAAGAAAAGTGTAATATCGTAAACATTTTTTGTCTGTGTCTGTTTGTGATGTAGGCAGAGGCTTGGATCAAAGGCAAACTGCAGGATCTGAAGGATGGATGTAATATTCAGCGCTGCCCCCTGCAGGACTGGGAGGAAGCCTCGCACACGCTTCACAGAGACCTCAGAGACTTTGAGAACACATTAATTCAACTCAACCAGGTAACAAAATGATTCAACACAAGGCTGGATTTGAACTGAAATATTACCATCTAACCAGAACAAGCACACCAGAGTAAACCACATTCAAAAGGAAATAATTATTTTAACTTTTTAAAATAATTATTTCCCCTATTTTTAGGTAATGGGGATCTGAATGGAATCATTAATCACTGTCTTTGGTGCTAAAAGGGTCTGTCAACTCACATAACACATAACATAATAGTCTCGTAGGCATTTCCAGTCTACCAGAGAGAAAAGCAGACCCTCAGTGTTCCAGACGGCTCTGTCAAGCCAGTTTATTCTTTCTCCCTCAGAGGAAAATGTTTGGAAATGGTACATTGCTGATAATTAACCTCCTTTGACACTCAGACAGCCCAGGAAGGGTAGAAGCAGAGCCAGGAGATTTTTCAGGGGTATATCCAAGATATTAATGGCAGTTTTCCAACAGTTGTGAAGCAATGACTCTAACAAACTTGAAGTGTCAAATGTATTCGGCCGCTGTTGTGCATTAGTCTGTCTGCTCCATCTATGCTGAATTTGAACTTTGACTTTGTGTTTCTTTCTGTTTCAAAAGATGGGTGAGCAGTTAATCTGCAAGTTGAACCCTACGTCTGATCTGGTAAAGAAGCAGCTCAGCCAGCTCAGGGACCAGTGGCACACGCTAAAACAGATGGCTGCAAATCAGACAAGGGCCCTTGGTGGAGCCAAGAACCTGCAGGAATTCAACAAAAAAGTGGACAAGCTGGAGGCATGGATTAAAGAGAAGGTAGAAAAAAAACATTCCTCTCACCTTCTGTTATTATAGTTAGTGTAAGAAGTAAATTTAACCGCAGTGAAGGCCACTTTTGTCATCCTGTTTAAGGCCAGTTCTATTGAACTATTGAGTAAAACATTTTTTAATGATAATTTGTGTGGTATTTTGTTTTATTTCTATGATGCTAGCATTTTCTATTGGTTCATCTATGTTCTTATTTTCAAGTGTAACACTAATGTGAAACAGGATGAAATGTGAAGTACTTCAGATTATTCAGTTATTTTTATGCAACTTCATTTAAATTTCTCAGATAGTTCACCCATGAGTCTGAGAGGACAAACAGCTCTAATCAACAGTTGCCAAGATAATTGGCATGAAAAACAGCATTTGCTAATACAGGAAATTAACTCAGTATCCTGAAGACATCTCTTGTTTGTTTATAATCACCAGTGTAAAACATCTGCCCATCATTATCAAAAAGCAATCATCTAGTGCATTTTAGGCCTGTGTTTATCTCTCTGTTCATGTCCATGTCTGGCACAAGGGAACTGATGATTGATAATGGACCTGTAGGAACGTAATGGAGGATGTTACTTATGAAGTCTATAAAACATCCATCCCTGGAGGAGACAGTATTCTCCATTTAGTTCTTCTCACTCTTTCCTCTTTGCATTAGTATCAAGTTCAAAGTTTCTCTCCTAATGCTGACGGCTATTTCTGTTTAGCATCCTCCTTGGTAGCAGGGCTAATGTGGTGTAATCCTGGTGCCTGGTGAAAAGAAATAATGGTTGGTTTCCTGATAAATGGGGGATATAAACACTGACTTTTATGTGTACCAGCAGGAAGAGGAGCAGTCTCTGGTGAATGTCCTAGGGGAAAATGTTGACAAAATGCAGCTTACCCGGAGAATTTTAGATCTGAAACAGGTGAGCATTGTAAAAGAACAAGCAAAAGAACTATTAATAATTAACGGAAGAACATTATACATGCTAAACAACTTTCTTGAGTTAAAGTTATACACATTCCCATATGTTAATGGTTTATATTACAATTTTGTAGGGGTTCCCAAGTCATTTATCTATGGCTGACTGTAATTTGTCTCCCAGGGTGTATGGTAAAGACAGCTGAGGTCATAGTTGGACTGTGTTCCCCTGTTTCCCTGCAGGATGAGCAGCTATACAGAAACCTTCATGAGGAGATCAACCACTTGGCCCTAAAACTGGAGAAACAAGGGAAGACAGATGGCAAAAACATCTCCAGCAGGAGGAAACACATCAATAAAATGTACACTTTGTCTCTTAAGTTGAACTGGTATGTTGCATGAAGCATATTCAATCTAAAGATGAATTGAAGACTGAACTTATCTGTATTGCCATCTGCTGTCTGTGTAGGTGGCTGAGGGTCCAGTCTCATCTGAAAAACTACCATGAAAATCTTCAGCTGGCACTGGAGGTGTCTTCGTTCTACCAACAGGCTGATAATACAGTGTTTGCTATTAATAACATGGTAAAATTCCCTGGCAGCTTAATTGTTTATTTTCCTCTTAGAGCTGTGATTCACATTTTACTCACTTGTACTGTTCTGTATCTTTTCTTTCAGAGGAAAAGCATATCTGCATCCAAAAAGCTGGACAGCTTCGGAGACAGAGAAATCCGTGACATTGCCAGTCAAATCATGGTAGGAAACATCTTTTTACTTTAAGCAGCACCAGTTGGTCAGATCCTGAAAGTGCGTTGCAGAAGCCTTCTCTAACTAACCTACAGGCCTGTGTGTGGTAGATGCTAGATGTTAGCGTGTCCCAGCTGTCTAATCTCCATCCCGCCCTGGCTGCTGGCGTCACACAGAAGCAGAGTGAGGTGAAGGACTGCTGGGCACTTCTTCAGAAGGTTTTAAGGTAAGACAACAGGCCAAGGATACCACAGAAAACTTGGTGGCCCTGTGAATACATGCGCCATTTCACCCAGTAACTGGTCCACATGTTTCCATTGAGCTGGAACTGTATTTTGGTGTAATTACTCATCTGGTACCCGACATTAAAAATCTGCACTGGCAAAACCTAGAAGAGGTTTTCCAAATGAAAATGAGCTTTCTGTCTCTCTCTTGATTAGGCATGTTTGATTTGGGTTTGAATCACTGAAAAATTATAAGCAAAGTGGAGGACCGGTCCATCTGGGTGTCTGGAGACCGCCTGCCACTCGTAGCATCACTCACCACACACTTTTTGGTTTATAATATTCGGTTTTCTGCACTGGAATTTGACAAAATGTTTGCTTACTGTACTAGTTGAATAATGTCTTGGCTCACTGAGTTAAATTGGCAACACGGTTTGTTCTCTTCTCACTATTAAACTCTTGCCATCACCTTGAATAGTCTGCTAAATCCAAGTTGAAACATGTTTACAAGAATATTTTGGATTTTTTACAGCATTTGTAAAACAGATTTATTGTTACTTTAATAGCCTACAGTAAGAATTCAGACCTGTTCATCATTATATTACCAGAAGCAATATCCACTTAATGAGCGCAGCCACATTTAAATGATGTGGTAATCTGAGAACCAAACTACAAGAAATGACACATTGATTGTGCACTGGGGTCCACACCTAATTACTGACAGTCTTACTGACGTACTGTTACATCCCTACAGCATGTGTTGTAAAACATGTGGCATTCTTTTAAATAATGTCCAAAAATATAAAAGGTAATTTCTGGGAAGCATCAGTACATTTCAAGACAATCTGTCCTGGATTTTTGATGCTTTTTGTGCAAAAGTAGGAAATTGGAAGTGATGGTGAAAAGGTCAGGGGATCATTAAACTTTGTAACTTTGTTTAGAGAAGCGCATTTAAATCATTAGGATCCATCCTCTGGGGACTATGAATATTCATGACAAATCTCATATCAGTCTGGCCAATAGTTTTCATATTATCTTGTTCTGCCTCAAAGCGTTGGACTCGCCAACGGATAACATTGCAATCCTTATACTCTACCTGCGCAAAAAGACTGAACATTTTCCATGTACATAATAATACTCCAGTCCACAGTTCTGACATCCATCTCCAACATCTCCTGCTTTCCAAATATTTCTCAGGCTGAGAGCTTCTCATGTCAGTGGGCTATCTTTAGATCCAAACATTACATCATCTCATCTGTCTTATCAGCTGTGTTTCATGGCTATTTAAACCAAATAACACAAACACTGGTAGAAAACTTCAGAGCCATAATTGGAGTTCATCATGGGCCTCTGAAGCCCTGCCGTCAGCACCACAGTAACCTCCTGCTCTGCTCGTCCTGCAGGAGTGACAGGAACACACTCTCTCCCATTGGCTCCGCTTTCACCAGGGAAGATGCTGACCCCCTGACACTGGCCCGAGAACCCCACTGCAACGTGGGAACGGAGCCACAAAGGATCATGGGAAAGGAGGTGAAGGAGGAGCAGAATCGACTGAAAGGCTGTGTGGTGAGTAGCTACGGTATTTCATTCTATTACTGGAGAAACCACACTGTGGCTCTTGACTGGGAGAGAACAACGCCATCAGTGCTGGCAAACGATGAGCTCAGCCTCTTCCAGTGTTACGACATCTGTGGCTGCAGAAAATGACGCACTTTGTCCCTTGGTTTGGAAAATGCCTGATTTACAATTTCAGCAGGTTTTTACTAAATAACAGTATTTCTGGAGTCAGATGTGCTATAGAGCAGTGGTTTCTATTCTTGGCACCCAACATACTGTTGGTTTTCCATCCTACCAGCTAGTTAGTGGCACTTAATAACATCATCTGATGTCCCAGTGCGTGAGGAAGCCCTTGATAAGGTGGTTAGGATGAATACCAGTTTGGCTCTAAAACTCAGAGCCCAGTGCTGTATAGAATAGAGGGATATATATCTTTGCTCTCTGTTTTACCACCAGACCTCTCTATCTCTTCACAAGAACCTTAGTCTGTAAATTTTATGAATATTGCTCTGTAGGAGTCACAGGAAGAGCTTTTTGAGGTGTTATTTACCCTGGCACAAAAATTACATAAGTTTCCACGAAAAATGTCAAGCCGTGACTGTACAGCATGGTTGAACGGTGGGCCAGAGCAAATATGCTTTTCCTGTCAACCCAACATTGTACTTTATGGTAGAATAATATCTTGGGCTTTCAACCACTCTAAGAAAAGTACACAGTCATTGGATTAATACTGTACTAATAGATGGTCTGTAGGTCAATCCAGGGTGAGTGGTCTATCTGCAGAGCATGTGGATTTCTCAGATACAACATTCCTCATCTTGGAGGCCTACCAGCATTTTATTGAACACATGGGTGCTCTTATAGTAATCCCACTGCCCATAAACTTACAAGGAAATACTATTTGCGTCTTTTAGAAGAGGAGGTGTTCAGAAACTTAAGTGTGTGGTATGTTAAAAACCAGTAATTATGTGTATATTTAGTCTTTTAAGTTAGCACATTAAATCTCTTCACAATCCATAAGTGAATGCACAGTGGCTGTTTGGGTTCAGCCCAGAGGTATCCCATAATGCAATGTTCCTCCCCTTTTGTTGACCCTGAGTTCTCGTGAAATCCCTGCTGTGCTTCTGGCCTTGTTTTGCCCAGTGAGAAAGTGCCCAGATGCTTGAGGAGAGAAAACTTCACTCTTTCCATTCTCCCCTTTTTTCTGGTTCAGTTTATTTCCCTGTTTTTAGGCTGTTACTGGCCTTGTGGCCTCGCCACCTGTGACAGGAGCCCATCAGGCCAGCAAGCCTCAGTCAGTTGTTTCTCTCAATGGGCACTGAGCTTGTTTCCATGGCCATCCTGAGCCCTTTCAGTGCAGTTAGTACTCTTTATTACAGTGGGAGCTGGAGTTACCTGGGTGCACTGTCTGTGGGAGCTCCACTTGTTACTCTTTATGGACTCCAAACAAAACCTGGCCAAACACAGAGCCAGGCATAACCACCAGTTGAACAGTAAAAGTAATTTGTCACATGCTTTCGCAGCGCTTTAACTTCAGCTTCTGGGTGTGCTGAACTGATTACAGTAGCCTATTTTTAAGGGTTCGAAATGCAGCCGCACAGGTCTGTTGGCTTGTAGTGACTCTGAGACGTTTGCATACGTGCTGGTAGACAGCAGTGTATCTGCAAACACATATTAGCACACTTTCTTTGTCGTGGTCTCCACCTCTGGTGAAATTTAACTCTGTCAGTTAAATGTAACTGTAAATGTTTTAGTGTCTGTATGTGCATGGGTACATGCATTATAATCTAAATGTCCATGTCTGTGTTAGCAGTGGTATGGCCTCTTGTTTCTGGAGGTAAACATGGCTATCGTCTGTTTCTCAGGCTAATTGTAGCCAGATGCTGGGGCTGCAGACCAGATGGGATTGGTGCTAAGTGATAGTTCTTGGCTGACATCACTTCATAGCACATTGCAGAAAGACACAGAGGGGAAGAGGAGCTCAGTGGAAAACAGATAAGAATCAACAGTACCCAGATAGGGAGAAGTATGCTGAAATACGAGATGGTTGGATGAGGCCAAAAACACAGAATACCATGGAATATGACATAGAAAATCAGTAAATGGCTATTTTTTGCTGCAGCTGACGTAATTGTCTTTCATATGGCTGAGTAGGATGTTGAGTGCACCACAGGACTTGTTTACAGTGGAAGCCACTGTGAAAGATTAAAGACAGAAGCAAATATCTGAGGAGGAGATATCAGTGATGGTTATCAACTCCGTCAAATGAATCACAGTAGAATGTTAGTTTTGCAGCTTGAACACATAAATGGGCCGATAATGTGCCTCTCTGAAACTCAGACTTGCCTATAAAATGGCTGGCATGTTAGTAAATGATGTTAGACCCCTTCAATTTACTGCATCTCTCGCATAATTTTGGAGGCGACACTTTTCTGTCTGACTCACGTCTTCTATAAGCCCAGTCAGAAAATAACATGATTAAATTAAATTTACTCCATAAAACACTATTATTAATGGATGTTTTGTGCTTTTTGGCTGTTGTGTAAATTCAGCATTTCTGATTTTTTTAATTTGAAAGCACTGACTGATGCATATTTGCCTTGTTGGTTGTTAGAGAGCTTACTTGTGCCAGCACTTTTTTACTAGCATATGTAAAAGACATTATGTTATATAGAACAATTGACACAGCATGGTTGGCATAATTCATACAGTTAGACAGAGAAATGTCAGCATAAGTAAATGTAAATTCATAGTTTATTTTTCTCTGTTATATTTATGCCAACTAGATTTGGTATGTAAAGCTCATAGGAAGAAGTACAAACAAGTATGTACAGTACCAAAAATCAAACCAAAAAATATTTCTATCAAACACACACTGCTGCATTGGTCCTGTTGGACGCTATTGCAATACAGTGTTTAAGACAGCCTTTTGCAGTGGACTGCAGTTGGTAAAAAGACCAACTATCAGGATATCCTACTTTGCAATAGTCCAGATACATGTAACTCTCATTGGAAACCGCAGAGCCCTTTGGCCAACCTTTAGAATACTCAGATGGTTGTAAAAGAGGCTTAGTGGCTGTTGACGTCTTTAATATATTTCTGCACATAGACAAGGTCTGTAGCTCTGGCACTGACCTTTCTAAAAACTCCACTGCATAGTTCTAAACAGAGACAGAGTGGACAGCCATGGAAATCAGAAAAAGAAAAAACACTGCTGTATTTAATGAGAATTGGGCATAGGGGATTTAAAGAAAGGGTTGTATTTCCAACTGCAATGGTTCTTTGGTGCTTTTTAGTCATCAAAGTGGTATAGCACATGTTGGCAACCTTGTTAGGTGTAATGTGTTCATTCATAAAGCAATTATCATTTATTTAAACATTTGCTGCCATCTGTAGTATTTTATTACAAACTTTGATGCTGTCAAACAGAAAAAGCTGCTTGTATCTGTAGCCTGGTCTGGGTTATTTCACTGAGAATAGCCAACCTTTGAAAGAAAGTGTGCTTTTGGGTAATTTACAGGAGAGACTTGACTCTACTGTGGGCAGCTGTCCATGTTGTCCAGCCTCCAGCCACATTGTAACATTCACATTAGCAGTGAGCTATAGCAATGCCTCATTGTCTAGTGACTGGTCATAGCATGAAATCCTCCATCTGAGATGTTTATGCATCTCGTCAACATTTATTCGGTGGATGGCTGACAGAGAAAGCAAAACATTACTCACATGTCATGTTGCTGATCTTTTAGATTTTCCTACAGAGACTTTTGCTCTTTTATCCACAGAGTATTGTTGAATGTGGGAGTGGTAGGAGAACACCGAGCAGCCAAAGCCAGGAACAGCAATCAGTGAACCACACCTCTTCGCCCATGGGAGACAGCCCTGGCCGTGCAAATGATGTCATGGTCAGACATCAATTGAAGGGGGAAAGGTGACATTTCAACCTGGCTTCTCCCTCTCTCTCTGTGACTTACATAATGAGAGGTCTTTATGTAAGTCATAATTGGAGTCACATGTCTGTGTTTTCTTTGCAGCAGGAAGCCCAGAGCAGAGCCTAAAGTTGCCTCTGTCCCACAAGGCCACCCACAGCTTCACATACAGCTTCAGAAGTTCACCGTGTCTGCTGACAAGGTGACCTGACCCCTGCTGGGCACACCTGCATTTCCCTTTACACCAAAAATCACCTTTCCAAAGCGTCTGTATACACTACAGAACATATGCTGACACAGAAACGGTTCATCTTGCGTAAAATCCTGTGAGCTCAACCTCAGAATTCATTACTATGAATGGTCAAGTCAGCAATGCAGTTGTACTCATCGGTTATTACACCCTTTTCTTGTAACTAGCCACAGACGTTATGTCACATTTTTAAATGAGACTTAGTTGTCATGTGTTCAAGTGTGACTTGTGTGCTACTGTTTTCTCGTTTCCAGTAACTGTCTTGATTTTTTTTTTAACAAATGCTGAGTGTGCTTAAAGGTCAGGATGGGCTACATCACCTGGATCCTGGTTGCTGTAGCTCTTGGCAACTAAATGCCATCTTCGTTGCAATCAGATATTCCTCATTTAAATTGTTCCCCTCTGTAATTCTTTCCCTGTTTGTCTCTTCTCTCCACGTCAGACTCTGTCCTGGCTGAAAGACAACGTGTCCATGGCCACACAGGTGTGTTCAATAGCCAGCTTTGAGGGACTGGAGGCTGCCAGGAGGTATCAACACACTCTGGAACAAGAAATCCTCACTAACAGAGCCAGGATAGAGGTGGTCAAAAGGGTAAGCGGAGGCACACTGTCACATTCAGTTTCTCTTAAAACATAAGCACTGGATGAATGTCCTAAATAAAAACATTCCCCATATTTTGCAAACCGGGCACCCTGACAGGTCTGGTTTGTGTACTAATCAAATAACGAGCTGACATTTCTACTGAGACAGCTTTAGGTACCCAAAGCTTCAGATTAGGTCTATATTTGATAACAAAATTCCCAGTCCTAAATCATCACATGCTCTCATCAGTTTAATGCTCCTTCCTCAGGAGGGCCACGGACTGGTCCGTGCACAGCACCCAGGCAGCGCCAAGATCGAGGAGTTCCTCGGCCAGCTGGAAGTCCTGTGGGAAGAGTTGCGGAGGAGGCACCAGAGGAACGCTGTGTTTCTGCAGGCCTCAGAGGAGCTTGGTTTTAGGGTAAGATTCATAAAATATTTCACAACAAGCAGTTGAATTCTTGAGTCATACTGAGGCAATTACTCACCTCTGAAGTTATAGGGGAGCTTTATGGTTATGACGGATGATTCTGGATCAGTCCTCCCATTGTGAGACACTTTATGCTGGCCCAGAGCCCGGGCTGTATGCACTCATGGTTAGAAGCTCCTCTACTTTCATCTTTACTACCTTAATTGGTAGAGTCTGTATGATAGATCCCCAATTTATGAAGGCTAATTCATGGGACATAAATTCAAGTTTCCATATAATTCAATAAGGAGATGGAAAGAGGCTACAAATTTACCCAGACTGATGGTTTAGTTGGAAAGTGTGAATCTTTTAGTAGAAAGGTGTAGGTCAGAGCATGATCTACTTCCATTAGTTATTCTGTACCTGTTACTATATCTTTTGTACAGTGCATTACTTCTGTTTGTCTTCACTGCACACCACATTACTTGCAGATCACAGCAGCAAAACTTCTACATTATTCGCCTGTCTGCTTCTCTACTGTATAGGTTGTAAAAGTGCTCCAGGCCCTGGGCAGCCTGGAGGCCTGGTTGGAGTCCGTGGAGCTTTCCATAAAGGAATCTGCGCTAGCCGGTGACCCAGAAACAATGAGCATGGCTGAGAGGGAGAGCTGTCTTCTGGAGAAAGAAGTGGCAGCACGCAGCCTGGAGCTCAGTGCTCTGAGGCAAGAGGTGGACCGTCTCCACAGCCACAGTCACCCACACACACAATGCCTGCCAGCACGCATGGAGGAGGTGGAAAGAAAGTGAGTTTTTCAGAGGAGGAGAGGGAAAGGTCAGGGGTGCCTTGATGTCTCTCATCATGGAAGATGTTATGGATGAGTCTTCAGACTCTGGTAGTTTTTGCTCATCACTGTGGTCAGGAAATAAAGTAAGAATTTTGTCAGTGTTTCCAAGGGGTCACAGGTTTATACTCACCATGTCTGTAATCCAACATGGAAGAGTTTATTCATAAAATCCCCTGTTCTTATTTAAGACAAACAATTTCACCCCATAAACCACAGAAATATATATCCATAGATCTCAGGAGCTGCTTTTTTTCTCTAACCTGGCAAAAAATATTCTCCATGCGCTCATTCTTTGCAAGACTCTCAAGTTTATTCATTTGTGATTCATGCAGCACTTAGTGAGGTCTACCCCACAGTCCTGACATGCACTTCACCCACAGCTTGTCAGTGTGTGTCAGAGTCACCCATTCCATGTTTGCAAGGTGACGCCTCTCTTTGGTTGGCCCTCGAAAGACAGGTTGTTGCCATGGGCTCTCAGTAAAACCTTATGATGTTGGCCTTTTTTACAGGACATACCTATGTCCATAAACACAAGTTCAGACTCTGTAAAGAACACAAAGCTGACCAAAGAAAATAAAGAAACGGAAAGGGCTTGGTTTAAGTGTTTCCAGGGTGGGGGTGTTATATGGAGCAGGGATGGACACTGGTGCAGTCTGAGGGACCATTGATGCAGGTAGAGGCTCTCACTGGGCAGCTGTAAGACAGTTGGGATGATGTCATTATTTAACACTACATACAAGCAACTTAAGGCTCATTTATTCTGGAAAAAATACACTTTCAAATTGCTGCCTTTACCATCCCAAGTATAAACTCTGCACGGACAGAGTACCTTCATGCCCTGAAGTACAGGATATGTTTATGTGACACATGATATATGATTACATAAACAGTGGTCTAGTATGGTAACTTGTGGTCTGTGTAATGTGGTTCTGTTGAAGTATGTAGGGTTGTATATAAGGATGTGGATTACAGTTAAGGTGTAGCTGGTCATTGAAACATTCCTGCTGGTGTGTTTCCTAGGTACCACCGTGTCCAGAGTGCCCTGACCCAGCAGAGCTCAGAGCTGCAGGACACACGAATGCTGACCGAGTTCCTGGAGCGCGTGGAGCTGGAGGAGAGCCAGGACGGCTGCAAGTATAGCCTGGGCCAGGTGAGAAACATTTTACCAAAGGTGGTGCTCAAAGGTTCATCTTGGCCAAAGTTAAATAAAAAAAATCGAATTTAACTATAGTTGTTTCTAAAAAAAATACAGATTTGTGAGGTTTCTGCCTCGATCACAAAGAAATTGAGGTGAATGGAATTTCATTCATGAGGTTCAAAGTATAAAAAAATGAAACAGTTAAGATTCAACAGGATCATGCCTTTCCAGAAACAATGTCCTGACTCCTCTCAATAATCCACAGATCTCCCTTAGAACAGAACTACTTTCTACTGAACATATAGTCCTCAACGTAATAGGTACTCTGTTTCTGGATACAGATGTGGCTGATGAATTTTTCAGTTTAATTAAAACATTATTCCATTCACTTCCATTGTATTGGGTGGCATTAGAAATGAATATAGATATAAATATAAACCTGAGCAAATAAAACCAAAACTATCTGCTTGATTAAAGACCACTATGGGGAGTGTTTTTTATTATTTGGCTAAACAGACCTCTTTTTTTTTAATAATGGTCCATTCATTCAACTACTGTAGATTAATCAATAGCAATTTTTCTGTCTGTGTACCTAACAGCCTCTCCACAGTGAGATTTCCTCAGCTCCTACATTGCTTGGACTACAAAGCAGTAGCAGTGGTGAGCCCCTGATAGAAAGCATGGGGGACCCTGTGGAGGAACTACGTGAGGCTGTAGAGATGCTGAATGACACTGTTAGGGAAAGAGGCCGATCACAGAGCCATGACCAGGCCATCCAGGAGCTGCTGAGCAAGGTAAGGAGATGGGAATCAGTTAGACGTGTGCATATGGGAGCTCTACATCTAGTTTATTAGAACTGATTGTGGCCACAATGTTTGTTAAGTTATAATGACCTTAGACGATGCTGAATAGTCTGAATGGTTTTTAAATCGTTCCACTTTTGTCACAAACAGTTGCACAAACCAATAGTGCCACATCTGGTTTCCTTTTGTCTGTGGCTACGACTTTAATAGGCCCCAAACGAGCCACCACTCCCCTTCACATGAGCGTTTTTGCGTTAATTCGATTTATTCTTGGTAAAAAAAATCAGTACACATGTCAAAATAGAACATACACACATGCCTGGAGGGGACTTCCTGACAGCATTTTAAACACTAATTTGCAATGTGGCTCTCATTGGAAAACAAATAATACACAGTGCAGTATAATGACTTAATGGCATCCTACGAGTACTCATGATGACTTTGTGCCTCACCAGCATGCCAGCCTGGCAGTGCGCGTGGAGGAGTGCTTATGCTGCAGCAAGGAGCTCAGCCTGGACATACTAGAGAGGGAGACAGACATGGCTGTCCAGTGTGAGCCAGACCGCTGCGGCCTAGAAGCTCTGCAGGAGAAGCAGGACCACCTGGAGGTGAGAGGAAGATGCTGGCACATGTCGTAATTTTGGTGTAAACATTTATAATGATTCACTGGTGCTAATATGATCCAGTATTCCATTCCACTGACTCTTGATTCTGGACTTTTTGTTCTGTGTAATGAAAAAAGGGAAGCCCCCCCCCCTCATTCTCGCACTTGCCTCCAACACATTGTTCCACAGTGTGTTTCCTGTTGTGCCAGATTTTCTCACATCTAAAAAAGGGCCAGCCCACCCCGCTTTGTGCTGTGTTTAATTTATTATATAAACTGTGCTATGCAATCACACACATACACACATAGAGCGTGCAAAAGTTTATTATTCACACAGGATATTTATTTATGCCTGTGTGAGTCACTGTTCTGTAAGCTCTCAAAGTGTGTGTGTGTTTGTGAGTAAATGTGGTGGGGTGTGTATGTGCCTCCGTGGGTCATGGGGTTGGAGATGTGAGGTTGGGAATGGTAAAGTTCTGTGTGAGTCATTTTTGGGCAGTGTTATGTTTATCACACATACACACACACACACACACACACACACAGCTGTCTGGACTTGATACCATTGAAGAGCAGAAATGACCTAATCTCCTAAACTGAAATAACTGTGCCGTCAGCAGACAGGCATTCGCAACTCAGTGTTGTTGAAGCTTACTGTAGCTGAGAAACGTTATGAAGTATTACTCCCAGAGAACCCTCAACTCTATTAATTACTGCCTCGTCAAAGGGAGAAAAAAATGGTCAAGATTGCAAGCTTGCTATAGCGTGGCAGCCCATATGTAGACCATATGGGTCTCTAGCTGAATAATATGCATAAAGCTATGGGGATGAGGTCATAGTCTTACAGAGATACAATTGGTACAGGCTGTCTGAGTGATACCGGGTTTGATGGGAGATGATAGATTTTTACTTTGATTCTCCACAGATTGACTATGAAATCATCAGGGAGGAGGTGAAGGAGATGGAGAACCTGGCTTCTCGGTTGGAGGAGCTGTGCCCAGAGAGAGTCCACGTACTCGGGGCAAAGATCCAGGCTATGCTGCAGGCCTGGACCGAGCTGGGAAAGAGTGTGACGGAGAACAAATCCCGTCTGCAGGAATTTGTGCAGCTCCAGGACTTCTTCAGGAGCTACCTCGCCATGATGTAAGCAGGGCATGGGGATGCTTTGACCCCTTTCTGAGCCAGACGTTCTTTTGTAATGCTCTTTGTGAAAACATCTGCCCATTACAATATCTTTTCAAGGAAAGAACAGGATGTTCTACTTGTCAAGTACAGGTCCCTGGTGGAATGTATAATTTAAGATGTGCTGAGGAGGTCAGCACAAGTTTCCTGGGCCGAGTGTGACAAGGCGATGAATGTCTGTCCTATCAGGGAGTCTGGTCATTCTCATGTTCTGTGAATGTATGGCTTTTCTCACAGCCCTGTTCCTTGTCTCCTCACCCCCTCTTACCCCACCCCCACTCCTCTGGATAGCTCATGGACAGAAGACACCAGGTCATGCATTTTCTCAGATACCGCCTTGCATCTTGGGAAAGATGGGCAGAGGCCCCTGGCTGCAGAGCTGGACATACAGATTGAGCAAAAGTTTGAGGAGTTTGATGAGCTGGCAGCCACAGGGAGGGACGTTTTAGACAAAGAACACCACCTCACACAGATGGTGAGCAGCACTCACTGTGATCCTTGAATGTATTGTTTGATTATTTTTTTTCTGCTTTTACAAACCCTGTGTAATGTCTTGCAGGTTAGAGAACGCATGGAAGAACTGAGGAGTATGCTTGGATGGATCTTGGTGCATTGGAGGGCTCAGAAACAACAGTGGCTTCACAAGAAGAGCAGACAGGAGCCTTCACAAGATAACATTTACTCTGAGGCCACAATGTACTCCCCATTAACAGAGGTACATGAGCAGAAAGGCACTTATTATAGGGATAGACTTGGACAGAATTGTGCCCTTTGTGTACAGTGTCATATTTCACAAATCGAGGTTTGTTTGTTTTTTTAAAGTTTGAAAAGTAAAACAACTAATAAACCACAAAATCATAATAATCACATAATAAATCACAAAACCTCAAAAATGAAGGACTGAAAGATGAAGACGGGCTGTTGATGAAGAGTGGGGGAAACAATGCTAGTGTCTCGTTTAACATGTTTCCTGCTATCGTAAATAAAACATTGGTGCTATAGATTGAATAATTTTCTACCAATGTACATTCTGTTAATTCTTTTTTTCATGGCTTCCTAAACAGAGTTTAGCTCCTGAGCTGGAGGCCTACCAGTCCCATCAGTCCCCAGTCATCAGCATTGATGAAGACAAATTAAAGGCAGCAGGAGACAGCCAATCCTCATCCCTCCTGCCCAGACAAACTGGACAACAGGAGGAGAAGCAGATAGAGGATGGGTACGAGGTCATGAACAGTATTGGACCACGTGGGGGCGAGGCTTCCTCCTCAGAGTCTCCCAAACCCTCCATTGTGGTCCTCAAAGAGCCAAACAGCCCCACTCTAGGGGGCACGGTCAACCTCATCCTTAGCTTTGGTAACACAGGGGACAGCCAAGTTCAGTTGCTTGACCCACCTGCTAGGACTGATGAGGTAGTGGAGGACACCTCTGAGCCTGTCCACAGGGTGAGAAATGCATTCATCACTTCACTCTAGAAGTCACGAAACATCAGCATTACTGGCTACACACATTTCTTCCCCAAAAGTACTGAAACAAATGATATTTATTGCTGTTCTTAAAGGACAATTCAGTAACATTCATTCTCTGTAATGACATGCATGGGATCTCCCTCCTAGACTGTCTGCTGCTGTTCATTCCTCCCTCTCCTTTGGCCTTCATATCTTCCTTTTTCCCCATTTTCTCCCTCAGCCCACTGTGCCTCAATCTTCTGCCTGTAAAAACTTTTGGAGGCGCTGCCAGGGGCTTTTGGAAAATACTTTGGGTAGTTTAAAGCGAAAGAGAAAGATTTATCGGCAGAGTGCAAATGAGGTAAATTGCGCGGATTGAATTGGAATTGCATGCTGCGTCTCGAAGTGTGCTGGGGATGCATGCTGTGTGTAGTTGTTTTCTGGTGGCAGCATGCTCTACTAACCCTGTTACAAGGTACAGTCGGTATACTGCCTCCCCACGTTGTTGCCTTGTCTGTTAACCATGAGTAAAAGGAAATAAGTCATGCCAGAGTGCAATCATATCTGCACTCACACCATCTCCAAAGACATTGTGGCTAGAAAATTTACAGTTAATGAGAGAAAAGTGAGAAAAGACAACAAACCATTTTACTGTCAGATTTCCCACATAACCGCACTCATAAATGTAAATTCAAAACCAAGTAAAGTCTGTTTCTAATGAAGTATATTATGTTATGATATTTAGTGGGATGGGAAAGGAGAGGTGCTACTTTCACAATCCATTAGTTAAAATATAAAAATAATCAATGAAATACAGTGATACATCTGATCTCCAATTAGTGAACAATAATTTGCTCTGTTTTCAGAGAGAAATCCTGTTACCAATTTGTCATAAATTACCATAATCTATACATTGAATTTATACCAAATATATAGTTTTAAGTCAACCCAAAAGATTATTTCAGTTATATTAAAATTGTATTAAAATGTTTCGAAATTGATTCATTTTCTTCAAATGAAAGTGGCTTGAAGAAATGGATTGCAAAATATGTTCGAGGGCATTTTATTTAAGAATAGACTATGAATATTCTTAGCAGTGTTTGCATTTAAAGGAGTCATGTAACTTGTCATACAGTCCAGCCTCATTAACGAGGTATTTACTAAGTAACTTTGAGGCACTGAAAACAAATGTGTATAATTTGGATTTCCTAGAATGAATGTGAATCCACCTTTGCAATCATCTGTCAGTTGTCACTTGGCCCTTTCAGCTTGTCTTGTGTAAACTGAGATGAATGGTTTAAGTCCCAACAGAAAAACAAACAGTGAATCAGTGTGTTTATAATCCAACTTTCCTCCGACATTAAAACTTTTCTTTGGACCTCAGCTTGTTCGATGAGCCAGGTTTTAGAGCTGGAAACAGACAGAGAGAGACAGAATGAGGGTGATGAGTAAGAAAGCACACAGAGTCATCTCCCTGCTGTGAATGTTGACAGAAGCTCTCTCTGCTCATGATGTAAACCTGGTCTTGTTTGGATCTCCGTGGCTTTGCCACAATTGTGTATAATAAGTGACCTCACCCTCACTTCCTGTGAAACTTGTGCTCCAAAATGGCTCCCAGTAGGAGTGCGCCAATACAGGCCATTATACACGGAACTATTGCTGAACTTTAAAGAAAGGCCCCCAGACTGCACACCATGATTTATAGTCTGGGGCTTCCACAGAAACAAGAGATTAGTCACAGAGTTGAAAGGTCAAGCCATTACAGCTGGCTATGACGGCATGTGCAGCCACATATGATTTTGATTAAGTCCTGCAAGTGTACGAGTGCAATCATGTCCATGTTCTTTTGTCCTTTCATCTAATTTTTTTGTCTTTCCTGTTTCTTATACATTTGTGTTGCTGTATGAGGCTCATACATTCCTGAATCCATTGTTTTCTTGGATGAGTGGGGTGTAGAGAAACAGAGGCTTATGTTTGTCACTGAAAAGTAGCTGATTGGCTTAGTCAGTTTTGCTCTCATGTCATCATTCATCTGTAACACATAAAACGGCTCTTGTTCTCGCAGAGAGCTGCAAGGCTCTGGCCTGCAGCACGCATGAGTCTCTCTGGGGATAACCATTTACAATAAGGCATTTGCAGCTTTAGTGAAATGACTGCTCATGCTCATGCACATGCCTAATATCCTTTTCTCTCTCTTTATAGGTAAGTACCTACTTGCATGTCAAAGATAACAACTTGGCTGCGGCCCCCGTGTATGAGAGTATCACCCTGCCCCGCCAAAAGAGCCGCTCTGGAGCCTCAGCCTCCCCTACTTTCCTGTCATCCTCATCCTCCTCGCCATCTTCCTCTACACCTGCACCTCAGATGACCAACGTAACCTTCCACCCTCTGATGGGGAGCGGCAGCAGCTCCATCTTCAGCAGCCTCAAGAGAATGGGCAAGAAAAGAAAGAGAAAGAGAGATGCTCGCAGACACACTATCCAGAAAATCATGGGGGTGGAAGAGCAAACAGAAGGGATGCCTCATTATGCCTGTGAGACAATCACATATGACACACATACATGGCCGCTGAAGGAAGGCAGGAGGAAGAAGAGTTCACCAAAGAGCCCAGCCAGTGGGGATGGAGTAGACGCTATAGCCTATATGAAGAATCCCTTGTTGAGGGACATTGATACAGAGTGTTCAGGAGAATACAGCATTACTCCTTATGCTGTATCAGAAGGGCCAACCACTTTATCTTCCACAAGCCAGGTGAGAAGCCACTGCAGATTCCTCTCTTTGGGCTCTGTGCTGAGCTTTGACCTACCTAAGGACATGACCCTCATCCCCAGCATTCAGGACATCATCACAATTGCCCCCCCTGAGTCCAAAAAAGGAGCAGGGACTGATCCGGACCCCCACTCCCAGAGACACTCAGCCCTGAGCTCTTTCAAACAGACTCGGCCCACTCCTGCCATCACACACAGTTCATCAGATTTCATCTTCTCTGAAACACAGACTTCGACAGTTGGAGCTAAAGCTCTTCCTGATGTGGACAAGAGTTCCCAACCACCGCCTCCTCTTTCCGCGCGTGATGATGAGGATCAGACTGTACCATGCAACGACCTGTCTAAAACCCAGTTCAGTCTGCAGGAGGATGCAGAACAGGAGTGGGATAAAATGTCATCCGAGGTTAAAACCAGTACAGCTGACAGGGATGGGACCAGCCAGCCTTCTCAGCTCCCTATTTATGTGAACCAAGCCCAAAGTACAGCTGCACATAAACATGAGTGCCCTAGTGTCCACACACTCATTCGCGACCTAAATGGACACCAGTACCACAAAACTGCAAGACCTCATAGTGTGCGTGAAGAGAGCCCTGGACTTCAGTGCCTGAGCCAAGCTTCTCACATGGTAGTGAATCTGAAGTCAACAGTGAGTGTGAGTGTTCGTCAGGACTCAGTGGACTCTGGTATCTCCACTTCCAGCAGCATCAAGCTTTGCACTGATGCACCATGTCCAGATATCCTGCAGCCTAAGGGAGTAGTGGGGAGGCTCATGTCCCTTGAAGTGGGAGGTATAGACTGCACTAAATCAAGAGAGAACAGTGTAACACCCTCAGGCCTGTCTCCAGACACCGCAGAGCTAGAAACAGAGCCTGTCCACCTCGACCATCAGCAGTTTGAAGAGGAAGAAGAAGAACTGGAGGACATCTGGAATCAGACTACTAACTACAGACAGAGCATCTGCTCAGACATCATGTACCAGCCCGAACAGGAAGACACCGTACCCTCAGACCAATCCAGAGAGCCTCGTTCTCGGTCGCCTTCACCTAAGACACCGGCTGTGCTCTACAGGAACCTGGTCACAGCCTCTGCACCCAACCTCCTCGTGGCAGAGTTCAGACTGCCGTCCCACATTCAGAGCTTGCTTGGTTATGACAAGGACCAGAGTCCCAAAAGTCACCTCCCTCCACTGGCTATAGGAGACAGGAGGTCGTGGGCAGCATTTCCCAACAGGGAACCAGCCAGCAAGACTGCAGTGACAGTGAATGAGACAGCATCTGATCCAGTGAAGCTGCCGGATGTGGGCGACAATCAGAGATACATTTATCAATACAGAGAGGATGAGGAGGAGGAACAGGAGGTGAAGGAGGCAAATGTGGGGGAGGAGGTGGATGAGCGCACAGGTTGTTTGAAGGTGAGGTCAGAGTTTGACATACTGTGACGTCTACACCTATGACACTGTCCTGTTTGACCTTTTCCCTTTAGAGGGTCAGTTCACTCGCCCATATTGGTCCGCAGCCATGCAGACTGTTTAAGTTTTATTTGCCCAGGTTTTGAGAAATTGGTCTTTACGATTTCTGCTTTCACCAAAGTACAAAGGAGATGAATAGAATTTTGTTCGTGGTGCTCTAAACATTTTCAGAAATAACAATTTTGAAAAAACTAACATTAACGTCCCTTTCCAGAAACAATACCTTGGTTATTTTATTGTTCTCAGAGGTGGAAAATTGTCTTTGGCCCATCTGGCAGTTCATTAAAACATTAAACCATGCACAAATAAATTGTATAACAAACAAAGTCAAAGAAATAAAGTGGTCACCATGACAACTGCAGATTTCTGGTGGCAAAGACTGATATCTCAAAGCCAAGATAAATAAAACCAAAAATATCTCCATGTCTAGATAGCACTAGAGGTTAATGAGAAAATATATTTTATGTAAATTGGGTGAAGTGACCCTTAAACACACTTGATTCATCTACTGGAAGTTTAATTAGTGTAAATTAGTGTTTACTCAATATTAATTAGTATACCAATAGTTATTTGTATGTAATGAAATATGTATTGCAAAACTTAAGATGTCAACATGTAATTGGGGCAAGCAGCTTTTAGCACTTTTGCTGTGTAGATACTAAAGATAACACAACTGCATGAACAAGTAACATTTTTTTCATCAGTCATGACTGTGGAAACTTCTCTTTCTAAACAGGACCAGTCCATGAGTCTACTGTCCATCCATATGGATTTGGATGGGGCCTGTTGCCAAAGAAAAGCCTCACAAAGCCTGGAGGACATGGAGAAGCAAGAACAGCTGATGGCCACAGGAGGGCGCTGTTTCACCCTGGTGAGACTTCATGCAATCCGTGTAGCTCTTTGCATATAACAAATACAGCTTGTATCATTGACCGCAGTGTTAATTCAAACAGAGTGGAAAGCCTGAGCTGCAGTCAATGGAGGGAACGCTCGAGAGGAAGCAAAAGCTGCAGCTGGGTGGAAAGAAAGTAAGAACAGCCCCATTCAGTGTTTAAGCCAGCGGCACAGTCAGCAAATGTAAAGCCCGCAGTCAGCAACACACACGCTTATCTTATTTTCACAGGCGACCTCCAGAGGCTGGAACTCCTACCATGCTGTCCTATATAGACACACCTTGTGCTTCTACCAGGAGAGAAAGGATACACTGAGGGTAAGCGGAAAAGAAGTACAGCAAACTGAGGAGAACAGAAATGATAAATAATTGAAGTGGATAATATGAAGCTAATGATGATCAATCTGTGCTGTGTTGCAGAGTTCTGCATGTGGTCTGCCGCTGAACCTCATGGGAGCTGAGTGTTCACCTGCACCAGAGTACACCAAAAAACCCAACTGCTTTCGACTACGGTGAGACTGTAATAACGACTCAATTGCAGTGATGATGTTATAAATTATACAGATTGAAAGGCAGTGATAGATTTAGGTTTAGGTTTAGACAGCTGTGTGTTTGAACCCTCTGTCATCTCCATGTTAACCTTCAGGCTCCGTGATGGGTCTGAATATCTGCTCAATGCACCCTCACGCTTTATGATGAAGAAATGGATGATGAAAATACAAGCAAACACAGGTAAACATAATTATTTCAAAGCTCATTTATGCCATGAGTGAGTTTATGTTCCATGAATCATATTTATGTCAGCTGTGTGTTTGAACCCTCTGTCATCTCCATGTTAACCTTCAGGCTCCGTGATGGGTCTGAATATCTGCTCAATGCACCCTCACGCTTTATGATGAAGAAATGGATGATGAAAATACAAGCAAACACAGGTAAACATAATTATTTCAAAGCTCATTTATGCCATGAGTGAGTTTATGTTCCATGAATCATATTTATGTTTTTTTTTTTTAGGTCAGAGTGAGTCTTCAACATCAAGTGTCCTTGGCGAGCAAGGCCTCCCCATTTCCTTGTAAGATATGGTGGTTAAACAACGTCTCTTCACTTTTGATTCCCACATTGAAATGCCTTTAATCCTTAAAATGACGCCTAATAAATAATCATTTATAAAATTCCTCGCTCCGTTCAGAAATCCCTCCCTCTGCTCCGGTTGTCACGGCCTCGCCAAATGCCACTGTTCCTCCCGACATGATGTCACCTCCACGTTCCCCAGGCCCAAACCGCCGGGCGCCGCCCAAACCAAAGAGATTGTTGTCCTCACCAGAGAGTTCAGTCAAATGCCACAGAGTCACTTAAGGAGTTTGGATGAGCAGTCGACCATCTCATCCTCACATGGAGGCTGCTGTGGTAAGGCCCTCTGCTATGTAGACAAAAGCTATATTTACCTGGGGAGGGTTTACCAAACATGCATCTGCTTCACATTCACACTTACTGGAAGGAAGCACCACCAAGCACCACCCCCCATTATCTGATACTGAATAGCCCCACCGGGCCACACGTGGTTAGATGATGCACTCGTCTATGCTCATTATTGATCAAGCAGGATTTGTATTCATACAGGATTTGTAACGATTTTATAAACTAAGTTTCTTTACCCTTGAGGCTGCTGTTGAGTTCAAAATGGATTTCAGGATTTCATTTGGCATAGTGTGTCAGACTGCTATTAAAAGTACTCTATCTATCAAAGAAGATAGTGAACGGCTGCTGCAGGTGTAGTATGTACCACTAGGGGGAGCTAAGGCATTGTCTTACTACATATTAAACAACTGAAGTATCAAAGGACTGCACACAGACAGCTCTTATCTGTTATTACAGTAAATATTTGACTTATTTCTATTTTATTTATTTAAATGTTTCTTTATTTCTGCTTTTAATATTTTGTTTCTATAGATGATGACGATGATGATGAAGGCAGTGTAACCATGACTCACAGATTGTCTGGAGCATCCAGCGACAACACCCCTTCCTCCCCTCACTCCCCTGTATTCAGTGGTCAGGACTGGCTCAGCAACAAGCGTCGCTCCCACTCCTTCACATCTGGTCAGTTTGCAGTTATTAACCTAAATGATCTATAATCTGTCTGTGAATCATAAACAGCTGTTTTTATTATGTCTTCTAATGTCCTGTATGCTATGTTTCTTCTCAGCAACTTACCAGAAGATCAAGCCCATGTTGCATACCCCTGGAGGCCTGGAAAGAGGCTCCAACTACTGTGTGACTCTGGTGGTTGGAGATAAATCATCAGACAGTTCGTCCACAAGCAGAGGCTCTGAGCCTCCGCTGCTGGCCATGGCTGGATGGCAGCGCGACACGTATCAGGACTCTGCTCTGAGGAGCTACGCCAGCCTGCCGCGGCCACGCAACAAGTCCGTCTTCAAGAAGTTCTTTGGGAAAAGGGACCTTTGAGTTTTTTAAATGATGATTTTACTAATAAAGTGTTTACCAATAGATTCCAATGTGCAGTGCACATATTATGCAAAGAAATGCTACTACTGACTATATTTATGATTGGAAGAGCTAGTACGGTTTTATTTTTGATGTGTTTTATATAAATCACTTATGGGCTGAAAAGTCTCTTTAAATAGGTCCTGTTTATGGATATTTATATCGCTCTTCTTCACTTTTCTCGTTCAGTTGAAAGCAATAACAATACTGTGTGAGTGTGCACTGCGTAGTTGTAGATTACTTAATTGAACAACACATTTTCCCGCCAGTCTTATTTTGTATTTCTTTTGTATTTCTTTGGATTGTGGTGTTATCAGGTTAACAGGCTGTGTAAAGCTTCCTGCTCAACAGAGAATCATGTAGATTTAGAGAATAATCCCGGTGTTATCACAATGACTAAATTAAGACCAAGTATTAACGATATACTGAAATCACAACACTTACTGAACTAGATCATGACAGCTCTCCTCCTCCGCGTGTACATGTGTGGCACACATAAAAGCAGCAGTTTGACACTGCTTGAGCTCATTTGATATTAACACATTTTAAATACTAATTGTACCAAAGACTATTCATAATAAAACATTAAAATCAATGATTTGCTGTGAATTGATGAAAATATTCATTTCTCTTACACTCAAGCTTTTTTGTCACCGCTGGAGGCTTTGAAGAAGAAGGGATTAGACGAACAGAGAGATTAAAGGCCAGGCCAGGCTAAGAACATTTTCACATCTGTGCCTTATTTTTGCATATTAAAAACCTGCCCACATTCAAAGACATGACTCAAACAAATCTATAATGAATGTTGCATATATGCTGAGGAACCAAGCATTCTCCACACACATTATGGATGCATAATGAATCATATGCATGTAGAGTTTGCAAAATGCTGCTGTTTAGCATTACAAAGTAGTTGCTACAAGATGTCTGAGGGACAGATTGGTTACTGCAGAGAGGGAAATGGATTTCTTTGTGCACATTTAAATTTATTGAAAGATTTGGAAGATGTGAACTACTTGGAAAAGCTAATATATGTGCAGTGTTGTATTGACGTTAAAGGCACCTAAGGCAGAAGTGTCACCTGAAGGGTTTGAAATGTCTTTTTAAGTGTTTGCCAAAAGCAGCTGAAATCAGCTGAGGTGTAATCGCAGAAATCATTTGAATTGAATCAGTTGAATTGTCAGTGATACACTGAAGCAGTTGAACGATCATTCAGAGAGTAATGAAAGCTGCTGAAGTGTTAGTTGAACAACAGGTGTGAGACCAGCTGTGAAAAGTGCAACTTTCTCTCTTTAACCACCACACCTTTTTTTGAGTAGCACTATAACTGATGTAAAAAAAAAAAAGAAAAAAAAAAAGAAGCATTGCGTTTTGGCACAACCATTACACCACCTTTCCATTCATATAGCATTGCCAAATGTCACAGTGTGGTCTTGGCACGTATATATGCATACACACATGCACACAGCAGCTACAGTAGCGTATGGAATGGAAACAGTTCGCAAAGTTGTGCGTTTGTGGTGCAAATTTGTCAAAAGCGTCCAGCAGAGGCATTAATCATGGCAATCTGTGAATCATTATCAAGACTCTATAGAGCTGAGTGCTGGGTGACTCACAGCACTGTAAAATACTCCCAACATGTTGTTCAGTTTTTATACAAAATCCCCATGTAGGTCATGTTCATGTGCCACTGCAATGATCTGTATGTTACTAGTGTATTCCGTGCAGGACAAGTAATGACTCGCAGTGACATACAGGATGTGACGGGCTAATTCACAGAGCTGCTGCATGCACATGTGGCACCTATTTTCTTGACATGCATGGACTACAAACATTTGGATTCTCCCCTCCACAATAAAGACAGTTCTTGTATGTTCTTGTCTACCGTCAAGTTTGGAATGACAGCCACATCCTTTGAGGCCCTGAGGGACGCAGCACTGGTCAATCGATTGATCACCCTGCCCTCGATCTTTGTGTCCTCTCTGTGCCCTTTGACCATCATATCACCCTCTGACAGCTCCCACTGCTTCCTTCACAGCTCTGGGGGGTTTCATTCCTCCCCTGCAGAGACAGTGATGCACTCACTCATTTTGTGTGTGTGTGTGTGTGTGTGTGTGTGTGTGTCACCACACTCTTGGGGCTTTTTCTCTTGAGTGTGGGAATACATGGCGAGGCAATGGATAGGTGAACCACAGAACACAACGCCCACACACTTCTCCACACTTCGGTTGCTGCACTTTCCGTTTCTAACCACTAATAACAGCCCACATGACATATCCTCCCAAAGGTGAGGTAAAGTCCAGGTTTTCGGTTTGTAGCCAAGTGAAAGGATGACTCACAGCGGTTACCACAGTCATTCAAAAAGATCCGGAGATTACAAGGTACCATCAAGGTAGTGTAAGAGGAGAAGGATGTCCTCAGGCCCTGACATCTCCCCCTGCTGTTGATGGAAAATGGCCTTTGTGCCTCTGGAAAGATGCATCTTTACACATTGCAGCTTTCTGCAGGGAATAAGTTAGAGACTGCTCTTTAAGCCATTAGATCAAAATAAGTATAGATTCATGCCAGTATCTTTTGGAAATATACAAGCTTGTATATACAAGCTGCTCATTTTAAGAACAAGAAAGGAATTTGTTAAGGTCAGGCAAAGATTTTCCTTCTATTTTCTTTCACGTGCTTCTTTGAGCTTTGATCCCAAGCTCAAAAGGGGAGGCCTACAGAGTGGTGTGCTAGTGGCCCGGACACTGGCTTTGAAACCCAACACTGAGCTTCCAGCAGCCCCGGGGAGCCCCATGAAAGTGATGTAATGGGAAGACTGGTTTAGAAATCATCAGTGGTGGGCAGTAGGGTGGAATAGTGGTTAGGAATCCAGATCAAATGGCTTCATTTCCAAAACCTTTGGATCCCGTTGGCCATTAACAGCCCACCTGTCAAAACCAGGGGACATTAGTTATGCTCATCAGCACAATGAGATGAATTAAAGCTTGGTTATAGCTTTCTGGGATTATATCTGAAATCTTAATGTCTGCCTGTCGCACTAAGTGGCCCGTGCAAAGCCTTGTTGCAGAAACTGCGAGAACTCACATACCCAGTGCATGCTGAGAAATGACCTTGATTTAAGGGAGTATTGCTAAGCACTTACCATGTGCAGGCTTTGGCACTGAGAAATCTGACATCACAGATGCTAAGAAGCCTTAACCCCACATCTTACAATAAATCATACGATCATCTTGGGAAATAAACAGTGCATCTGAAGTTCGGCTTTGGGAAAGCTGGAGCTGGCTTTTGTGTGTCTCCCACATGGTCTTTGAACAATATGTCAGATTTTCATCAGATGTGTTTGGCATTTTGGCCGAGGGCTTCTCGGACAATACATCATAATATGCCTCTACTCTACAGCTGTCGTTGTGCCTCCTGGGCTGGTACCACAAAGTGCAATAACTGGAGAGAAATTTCCTCGTCTAAGAACCAGCTCCCCACCATCCGAAACCACCCCCCACCCTCCACCCCCCCTCTCCCTCCAGCCGGCAAGCTCCCTTTTGTCCTGGATTGTTGGTAAGCTTCTTGCATTTCTGTGTCCTCCATGTGTGGAGGGATAAAGGGTGCGGGGTGCCATACAGACATCTGTCCCGCAGATATGGTGCGTATGCATCCCTGCGATATGGATATTAATTCACTTCATATTCATTCAAGCTCCGCCATACGGTCTTTCATGCAACACTCCTCCTACTTAGGACACATCAATGCATTCAGGTCCCCTGACAGTGTATCCAATTGTTACAGTCACACAATTGTTATGTCCGAACAAACCCGTGGTGTTTCCAATGTAAAATAGCAAGCAAGGTGCCCACATGTGCGGTTAGTGTTACAGTAAAACAATGAAATATAGATGTTTTCGGACAGGGTTTCTCTTCTGTGTAATAAATACATAAATAAAACCCTTTGACTTTGACTTCTCTGCTATATCAAATACTGGTGTTATGATGATGTGGAACATTTCATACTTTCATCATGATCCTGTAAAGTGTTGGTTCCCAATCTCGTTTGTCTGTTGTGCCCCCACAGTCCTGTCAGATGAACTCAGGTACCCCTTCTTCAACAACACTATTTACATCAACCACTTACTCATTACTTTCAGAAAACTATTTTAAATGTTTATTCTTTTAAATTCAGCCATTATTACTTTTGGCTATTTCAACAGTATATCCATTACCTTTAGCAAATAGTTAAGCAAATGAGAATATTTATTCAAATAAAAGAAACCAAATGTTTGACCTGATGAGCTTTACTCACACTCCCTGGCAACGACCAAGATACACCCGGCTGGGAATCACTGCTATAAATCATAGGTCCATAATATCACAATATGGACAATATGCTTTCCTAATTACATCATAACACATCAAATGCATCCACAAACACACACACACACACACACACTTTACTCAGTAAAACTGGCAAGGTCTTTGTCACTGTTACATAACCCATCTGCTACTCTGCTGCAGGGTGCTGAGGATCACCTTCCAATCAGCAGAGCCAGCTCCCTCAGCGGTGCTGCTCGGCTTGCCAACCATGAACCATAGCACCAACCCTAATTGCCTGTTAAGACTGTACCAACAATAACGACGCAGCGTCATATTTCCATGTTAGTTCAAAAGTACGACCATTGCACCGTTGACTTTGAGGCCAATTCGGTGACTGTTAGTGCCAGTTGATCCTGAGGTAACGTCAGCAGTGGCCACAGAACAGATGCTGGCGCAGCAGCATGTCTGACGCAGATCACAGCTGGCAGCTCTCTCTGCAGCCAGCCTGACAGGTTACATCAGTTATACAAGCAGTGTTAAAAAAAAAAAAAAAAAAAAGCCAAAAAATCCTTCTATGTATTTTCACTTTCAAATGACCTGAAGATGCTTTGGTGCAGAAACAAATATCTCTACCAGAGTGTTTCTATTAAAAACCTTGATACAAGTGCCAGACTTCGGAGCTCACGCAGTGCGAGCAAGTCTGCAGTCTGTGTGAGCTGAACTATCAATAAACTCATGAACCTTGAATGTTCTTGAGCTACTTCAGTCTCTAAAAAGCTACTTTACCTCTTTCTGTTAAACCTACATTTAAGAACAAGAAGTAGTTAAGTGCCAGATTTAATTTGCAGCTGTGTGTTGACAGTCACAGAGTTTGACTACATGTCTCATTTTATAGCTCTAAAACCCTTCAAAGACCACTTTTGTGCTGCAGCATCAGAGTAAACCCTTCATAAATGCACTCTGACATCTAAAATCCTACATTCAGCGATACTATTTATCCTTTACTGTAAGCTGACGGTGCATGGGCAGAAATTCCATTATCTCCCAGGACGGAGCAGAAAATCCGCAAAACAAAAGTCAAGCATATTTATTTGTACTGCTGAATATGAAAACAACAGTAAAGCTTATCAAAAGTATGAAAACATCTGCATCTGCTAAACAAATGTCCATCTTTGACTATATGAAAAGAAACTATCTCACTGTTGAAAGACAATAACTGTTTATTTTTTAAATTTCTGGTCACGCTAGTAGATGAAGAAACCATGAAAGGATTGGATACAGTTGTACTGTTAAATATTGATTGATTTTCAATGAGCACATCCTCAGGTTGACAAGACAAACACATTGGGAGGCTCACGCAGCACAGATCTAAATGAATGAACAGAGCATTGCTTTGTTTAAAAGAAAAAAAAAAATATAGCACCGATTGTCCTTGAGAACAAATGAATTTTCTACACTCAAAATGAGAAAGGCATGCTGCAGCCTCTATAAGACCAACAGCTAAATAAAAAATAAAACACAGCTGTTTTGAGGGCGAAGCCTGACTCTGAGAGCACGGGGTATTTACACACTAACCGAACAATTCCCCCCGCTGTGTTCCATCTCACAATCAATTATTCAGCATGCAATCCATTTTGAGGCTGTATGAGGATGAAAAACATGAATTGTGTACATAAATGCATGCATGTGACACACTAACTCTTTCAGCGGCTCGGATGCCCTTCAGGTTAGGTCACAAGGCTGTTATGAAGCGTGTGTAGACCCACTGAATGCTCTGGCTGTGTGCGCTGTGTATGCACTGACACAAATAAAACTTCTTGTCAGCACAAAAATACGCACGAACCGCTGGGTTTTTCCTCTTTAATGGCTCTGAAGCTCCATATTAGGGTGTTTGTTTTAGACATTCTTGTAGTGCTGCCAAAATGTCTTGTAGAATAGCACTTCGGTTCTCCTTCGACACCTAAGTGGGAAAAGAAATAAGCAAAAATCAGTCTGCAGATAATGTAAAATTGTACAACTTGCGCTGCCGAAAGTAAACAACAAGAAAACTGTGGCAATTGTCTTGTCCTGTGGGTGCTAAGCCGCAAAGGATACAATGTCCATTCTGAGATTATCAAACCACATGTTGTCAACATCAACTCCTAATCTCTGGCCTACTGTCTGAAAAGTGAAATTACTCATCATGTTTGGCAAAAAATGTTTACACTACCTCGTTACTTTGTTTTATATAATAACTTCTCCGGCAGAGTGGGTATTTTGCATGACAATATCCATAACTGAGTCTTCCGTGATAAATTATTTTGACATTTGAGACCACCCTTTGTTGTTGAATCAGTCACGCATGATTTAGAGTTAATCCTGCTATAGGAGAGGGATAATGCAGGGCATGCCCCTTCTGCGTTACTGAGCAGACTGACTGACCTCCTAAGATCAAGTGGACGCAATGTGAACAGTGTCCTGTAGCTATTGTGGTACTTGTAAGCTCCTAAACTGACCTAAATATCTTTTTTTTCTTTCCAGAGAGTGTTGCTAGCATTTGTACTCACAGTAAAGACCTTGACATCTCTCCTGCTCCGCACCTCTTCCACAAGACCCAGTGGTTTACCCTTGGGGATGGGGATGGTGCCCAGGATGGTGCAGGAAGAGCTATCTAAAGTCTGTCTCACTGCCCTGATGAACGACTGGCTGAAGAGCTCCATTTTGCCAATTTCGTCAATGACAAACACCTTCCTGCTGCCCCCATCTGCTGACCCTACCTGCAGATGAGAGACGTTAGCATTAAGCAACAACACTGTAAGTGCACGCTCAATTTGGAAATAAAAGGAAAACCAGCTCAGTTTGGACATTTATTGATAAAAAGATTAAACAGGTTTCATTGGCGGTCGTGTGGCTAATGTAGCGCGTGGCAGTATCTCATCATGTTAATGTCTCGTGTGAATCTCACTGACGGATAGTATGACCGTGACTGGGATTGCATGTTACACACGACGGGTGATCTGCAGTGATTACAGAAATGCTTTAAATGAGATGAAAGTGGAATATGTGCCGCCAAGGCATAGACACCTTCCTTTACAGTGCATGTGTAGGCGTCACTGCAGGTTCACTTACATGCTGGATTAATCACGGTCAGTGACAGCCAGACGGCACCACCAACACTAAAAATGTCACTCTGGAATTTATGTGGTTGCAAGCTTCCAATTATTCCATCAATGCGGAGGAAATCAAAGGTTTGATGATTTGTTAAGTGGGGAGACACGGGGGTGTTTAGGTTGCTGTGATCTATTGATGACGGTGAGTTTAAAAAAAAAAAAACACATGTTGCTGTCTTACATTTCTGAAGAGTGGGAGAGCCAGGTTTTCAAACGAAGGCAAGTCAACCACATACTGGCCAACTGTGTATTCCCGTCTGCCGTGAGACGCACCAGCAGCGTCTCTGTAAATCGAGATGAAGTGAAGGTTAGTCAAAACAAAGTGATAAAAGAGAGCAGGTAGTTAGGTTTGAGATAGGATGACAACCACGCTACCTGATTCTGGACAGGTGGCCCCTCTCTCCTGTCAGGGTGACAACATCAAAGCCGACTCTCCGGCCTCCCTCCCTGACTTCCTCTGTGTAAAACCCTTCAACTCCCACTCCTGATGACACTAAAGCCTCACAAGCTTTCTGGACCAGAGTGGTTTTCCCCACACCTGTAAGCACAAACAGACACTGAAAAAAAAACACTGTAACATCACCATTTACACCTGGTGTACACACCCTCCCTGTTAAATGTTGGAACACGTTTAATCTACGCATTAGTCACGTTGGCTTCCTTATTCTTTAATCAATGCTCCCAGTCTACTAAATACACAGTATATAAATCCATGCATAGATCACCAATCAGGTGTACCCAGGGGCCTTAATGGTTAGGGGGGCCCCTGGGCCAGAGTCTCTATGTGAAATATTTCTTCTTTGGAAATCTGAGTTCAGTTAAATGACCACAAAAAGAGGCAAAACAACCACTAAGATACGCAAAATGACCAAAAAGGGACACGATACCATCACAAAAATATGCCAACCCACCATAAAGAGACTACAGAGAGACGCAAATCATCTACAAAACCAATGTGTCTATTTCAGTCTGAGGATCCTAAATAGGAGGAGCTGGGAGGTCTTTTACCTCTCTGTGCCCAGGGGCCCACATTATCATAATCCGTCCATGTACGCTTGGTTGGTTTATTAGGTACACCTACTGAACCTTATCTAGACTAATACAATAGTAAATCAATCTTATCTTCATGCAGTTATAATATTCAGTTTGTGCCATTTATGTCAGTGAGAGCAGGCTAAACTACGGACACATCTCATTGTATAATGCAATGCAGTTCAACAGCACCACAAATTACATTCTCCAAAATGATCACACAGTTGAAACAACACCACTCTAAAACAGTTCCGACAAAATATGAACATTATATCTTTCATAAAGGGAGGATTTATTGCAGGACTGTTGTAGAAACTAGTTTATCTTCCGAATGGAATGACTGAGTAAGAATGACTAAAAACGTGTTGAAATAGTGATTAAATGGGACTGCTTGTACGAACGTCTCCTCTGTCTGTGGAGGGACTTAAACTAATAGCATTAATACCTAGTTACAGTAAAGCTTAACCACTATAAATCGATATTATCCGAGCACAAATAGCTATAACAAGCTAACTTTGATCAGACAAAGCGTCAACGTTTACTGACTGACACTCAGGTGTGGATTTGCAGCCACTTTAACTTCAAGAGCAGCGAACACACTGGATGTTCAGTGTTACCTGGAGGTCCTGTCAAGAAAACGTGTTTGAACATCTCGGTTTACACCATTAAACATGCCGCTGCAGCTCTTCCGTACACAGATTTTTTTGACGCATGCGCAGTAGTTACTAGACTTCAGCACTTTATTTTGAAAAACGTACTTTATTTTAGCTAATTTCTCGAGGATTTCAGGTTATTTAATGCGCAAATTCAACATTATTATCAACTGTAATACATTCTTTGAACAGTGTCTAAGTCATGGTTTTCAATTAATTCATTTAATATATAAATTAAGGATGAAAAAAGACATTATTCAACTGTATGGTTGAAACGTCTGTTTTAAACACTCATATATTAGCAGAGATGATAGAAGTATTCATATACTTAATTAAGTAAAAGGAGAGATACCAGTTTAGTATTTCTTTAAAGGCAGTAAAGTTTGTCAACAAAATGCTCTTATTATTGATTATGTACTCGTGATACAGCATACCTCCTTTTAGTGTGTTAGTATAGTTAGTTAGTATGATAATCTTATTTGTCATTTTATTGGATTGATGAATTTAAGTGGAAGGAGCAGTTTAAAGTTGTAGCTGTTTGACAGGTGAGTGTATATTTCTGTGTAACAATATATTGTATTTTATATGCTCAGTATATGGTTTTAAAGTCATAATCTGGATAGTAACCAATAATTATAGCTGTTATAAATGTAGCAAGGTAAAAAAAAAAAAATACTGGAATATAATTATAATGTAGCACCAAATTTTCCACCACTGTAAATTCTTATGGTTCAGTTGCAACTCAAAACTGGAAAAGAAACTCTGAACACAGTACAGTATCATGCAAAACAGAACAAACTGGTCTTAAAATCAACAAAACAGCTGTCTGTTTTCCTATTTTCCTTATCAAATAACACCAAGAGAAACATGCAAAGTAGTGGGTGAGTATTTAAAGGCACTACCCTGAAATCAGGAGCTGCTCTTTGAGCAGAGGGAGATTTTCAGTTTGTGACACCTCTACTAGAAATGAGAGCTTATAAATTAAATGATTTGCATAAACGGTGTGCATTAAGAGATTTTCAATCCTCTTATATGTTATTAAAAGACTCATGGTCGAACGCTTTATGCAAATGTCCAGTGGCCGAATGGTAACTGAGTGACTAAAACGTAAAATGATCACATTATTTCCACAAAAAGCTTGTCTTTATTCAAAAAGGTTGTCAGATAGAATAACTGAAAGGACAACTTTACAACTTTACTTTAATTTACATATTTGCAAGATGTGTACAGTACAATACTACACTCATCTGTTTCCCGTGGTTGGGAGAAACAGTGTAGCCTTGATATAACCATAGTGTAGAATTATATATTTTTCTTTACATAGTGTAACCAGGGAGTTTGTTGGCCACTAGCTCAGAGATATGCTGATACTCTTTTCTAAAATCCAGAGATCCCAGCTCATCCTCCAGTTCCTCAGCCTCCTGTGGTTCAAAGGAGGATATTGATTCTGCAGAAAATCCTCGAACTGGACTGTTGTTTTTGGTGGACTCACTCCTTTGACTCCAGCTCCTTTCCACTCTGCTGCTGTCTGTCATCTGCTTTCTGGAGCATATGGTTTGTAAGGAAGCCGACCTTTCTCCGTCACCATTGTCGGAGGAAAGGCTGAGGGCAGAGGCGTGGGTTCGAGGTCGAATGATGTGTGTACCCCTCAGAGAGCGCTGGGGAGAGCTGGGGGCTTTGATGGGCATAGGGAGGACTGCTCTCCTCTGGACAGATTCAGAGCCAGAGTCGGAGTTGCAGAAGTCAGGGCGGACAGGGGACTTTGGAGTTTTGGCTCTAGAGGGCTCAGGGCTACTCATGGGGTCAGGGGAGTAGGCATCACTGGGTTCAAGACTGTTAAAGTCATCAACGTAGTCTCCTTCCTCGTTTCCTTCCCCGCTGGAGTCTGAAAATGAAGACTTTGGGCTGCTGTGTCTGCTGCTTCTTGAGGATTCAATTTCCTCTCTGTGCCTGTCAGAGTCAGAGTGTGATTGATTTGATTCACTGTGATGCTCGTTCTTGTCTCTGTTTTGGGCAGCGCTGTCACTATCCACACTGGGGATGTGAATAAATTTCATGTCTCTCCTCTCAGAAGGGGATGGTTTTTCTGAGTTTTGTTTATCATGTTTATCTTTCCCATGCAGATTTTTCTGTTTAAGTGTGGTTGTTCCTTGTAGTGCAGAGTCCACTGTGATGCTTTGTATCATTGTCTCAATATTTTCATTGATACTGGAGCTCTGTTTTAGTACTGATTTCCTTTTGCTGGACTTTACAACTTTATTTTCTGACTTTGTCTTTCCTTTGGTCAAACTTGTCTGTGTTTCATTCTGTGTTAATTCCATGCATTGACGGCGTTTTACTATAAGAGGTGAAATTTGCTTAAGCCTTAGATTAAATGTTTTAGTGGTTCCATAAACAAGCTTCTTCCTCTGAGATTTACTGGAAGCTTTACTCTCAATCAAAACCTCTTCTTGTCTGTCTTTCTTTTGCACAGATTTAGACCTAACTATTGGAGTAGAACAGTTTCTAGGAGAATGTAAATGTTTAAAGTAGCAACTAGTCCCCTGGCTGGTCTTCTGCAATGTTTTTCGTGGTGTGTCTCCATGCCCAGCTGAAGGCTCTGTGGATGCAGGCCTGTAAATCCACGCTAGGTTAGGATGAACAGACAAGGGCTGGTGTGGGTTCTGGCCATTTAACTGTGACAGCTCAACAAGAAGAGCATTTAGTAGAGGCATCTGTTGTAAAGCTTCCCCAAGGACATTTGGACTCACCCCACTTTTTTCTTGGTTTCTTGATGTTTTTGCATCATTTTTTACTCTCTGTTCCATCATTGGAGAATGTGGAACCTCAATTCTATTTTCAGACATCTCATCCTCAGAGCATGAGTCTTCAAATGTAAAAGCTTCTGAGTCTAGGGTCAACAACTTATAATCCCCTCCTTCGTTTTTGCTTTTTTCCTCTGCAGAATTACTGTAGTAAAGATGTGGGGGACAGAATATGGTTAAATCCTCCTCAAAATAGTTTTCAATTTCTTGGAGTGTTTGAGGAATTTGGGTTCTTGGTCTGTGTTTGGTAGCAACACACACAGCAGCGCCGTCCTGCTTGTCCTCACTCATTGAGATTTTTGTGTTTGCCAGTCCCTTGTTTTGGGCGTCTCTGCTAATGTCAGACTTGTCCAGTGTGGTTGAATGGGCATTCCTACAGTCATAAGGCAATGATTCTATACATATGTTTTTCTCCTCGATGCTTTCTTGTACATGTTGTCCTCCATGTACTCTGGTGCGTTGAAGATCCCTCCTGTCCCTGATATGTGGCAGTAGACTAGCTCCCAGACTTATCAGTTTATAACTCAGGGAAATCAAGCCATTTTTCTCCCCTGTGAGGCTGCACATGCTAACAAGCCGCCTTTCTCCGTGTGATGAGGGAGCAGAAACACCATGCTCAGTCACATCCTGCCTGATTCTGTCTATCACTTTGGCCAGTGATATCAGGGAGGAGCCAACTAATTTGGGAATCTCCTCCTTCACATCCAACACCATAGCATAGAGAGGGGTGTTAGATAGATGGGTGTGCAGTGAATCCAGGTTCATTTGGAAGAAACAAGACTTGCCTCTATTAAAGGCGTATTCCCTTCTCTTTTCTTTGTCATGCTCTCCGGGTTGGTTAATGTCACCACTTCTGGGTTGAGGCTGATAGATGAGCAGCGTTGGGAAATCTAGCAGTCGCACTCCAAGAGCCAGCTCGTCGGAAACTTTAGTATCTCTCTCGATTCGGACATTTTTAACCAAAAGCTCAAATGAAAACAGAGTCTTAAGAATGTCACTATTTTGTCCTGCTGACATCCTGAAAGCTGTGTGACCACAAAAACCCCACTCAGCCAACTAGCAAGCTTTTAGCTAATCCGCAAACTCGCCGGGCTTTTAGCTTCCATCGGCTCCATGGAGACAAACAACTGTCGCGAGCATTATACGTCATACAATAACCAGAAATACCTGGGAAATGTAGTTTCAGGGTTCTTTTGGCTATATCACGAATTTAAAATTGACTTTATGTTCATTAGTATTGCTTTAAAAAATAAATAAAATAAAGTATTGTAAATACATTTGATTCTGGGTTCCTATTTCTAAATGAAGTAATAGGAAATAGTAAAAAACAAACAAACAAACAAGCAAACAAAGCAACAACAAAAACTGCAAAGTAAGTACAGGCAAACACAATACATTAAAAGCATAAACCGAAGGTATATGGAGATGATAATTTATTCAGGTAGAGTTTGGGAGAGCAACTTTTCTGCAGTTCACCAGATGGTGCCACTGTAGGGCTTATTGGGCATACAGACCAAAATAGTCTTGTGGTGAATGGCAACAAGGCTAGTGGACTTAGGTTAGGTTAGCAGGCTCATTATTCGCTTTTAACATGTAGAAAACGTTAATCACTCAGTCTATTTTCAGTTTCAGAGTATAAATCTCTGATAGTGATTTATCAGACCAGACAGTGATTGAAAAACACAGAGTTTGGACCGGCGTCGGGTGGGCGGAGCCTTTTGCTTGCGCGCTGTCATCACCGGAGATAGGTGCTGGATGGATATCGCTATGGTCCGTGCTACTTCAGTCTGGAGGCTGAAAGCGAAAGAGTGAGATGTCAGAGCGACTACGACTGATACAACTGGTTTTACCTCTCAAGGATAACTAACAACGTCAACAATCTGGCAACCCCGGTCAGGACACCGCTCACATTGTAAGGTAAGACCCGAGTGTCTTTTTTTCTCCCTCTGAACCGAACAACAAAGTAAAAAGTAGGGCTGTAGCTAAAAGTGAGGAGCGATACACACAGTGGGCGAAAGCCGAAGAGACTCACTGGCACATCCATGATAATAGTGAACACAAAGGATACAAACACAAAGTTACTTTCAGCCACCTAAGCTCGTGTAATTTGAGCGAGAAACATAAAAAGAGGTGGAGGATATGATGTTTCAGATGTAGCCTATCTATAGCCTATGTTTGTGTCTATTCACAAAGTGTATGGTATGAGCTATGGTGCTGTTGTACTTGACCCCTGTTTGTTTGTTTATTTACCAAGAAGCACGTTAGCCATGCATGTAGACCAAATTCAATGCAAAATACATAACATTTTATATTCATATTCCACAAGGTAGGCTCACTCCAATTTTTAAAAATTAATTTTTACGGTTAATGATATTACATGTTGACGTCATATTTTTGGTGGTGGTCGCGGTGGTGGTGTGTGTGTGCGTGCGCGCGTGCTGGGAGTCGGGTGGGGGTAACTGGACTGGATTAGCACAGACATATTTTTGAATGAGTTTGTTTAGTGGAATGCTTCCATGAAAACGATGGGGGGCGATAAAGGCATCATTGTACAACTGGTCATCGGTAGTAAAGCCTTCACATGCACACTGTAGGTGAAGACCGCAGCTATAGTCTAACAGGCCATATATCATTGTTCTGCAAAGCTCAGAGTGTGATAAATTATTATTTATACAAGCAACGGTCAAAGCAAGTCACAGTCTACTGTGCTTTTCTGTTGTTTTATGTGCTTATTTAGAGGGAGCCTCACTTTGTGGAGCAATGTCAGTATGTCCAGACAAAGAACAAGTTCCTCTAACATCAGTTCTTTTTTTTGTATTTCCCATAAATAATATCTGACACTCTGTTTATAGGCAGCATATACAATGCTGCTTTATTACGGTCTGCGCTTGTATTCAATATACAGTGCACTGTATACCCCACTGTAAGAGTAAACAAGTGAAATGTTGTTTGTCTTCCAGTACCATATCCTCTGCTGTTTCCCTGCAGGAAGTTTATCCTCCACAATAACTAAAACTCCAATAAAGGGAAACAAACAGGCCTATTCCTCTGCTGGTGGCTAGCTGCAGACACAACAATTAGGTGTTCTTGGGTGTAAATGTAAGTTTCCATCACTTAATTTTCAGCACTCTGGATTTATGTCCTTTTGGCTTCACAGGTCCCATCTGAACAGATCAGGCATAAAGAGTTCCCTGCTCCTTTGGCATTAAAATCAATAAGACACCATTATTTTTCACTGGGTTTTATGTCTGGGAAAGATTAGTTTTCTGTGGGGCTGTGCTGAACTAAGTAGGCACAAGAGTGTTTTAAGATGGCTCCAGTATGTGCATGGCCTGGTATAACATTTAACATATTTTCCTTTAACACCAAAAATGTTTGGCTTAACTCCAGCTGTCATAGGGCTGCACATCATGGAGGCAATTTTTCAGCTGACCACTCTCCTGAACGGACATAAAGACATCTGTAGTGATGTGTGAAGAATTTGCTATTATTGTGCACAAAAGCGAAAAACCACCCAATTAATCTCCTCGTTTTCTCTGTCGTCATGCAAATATTTCTATTAGTTAACATATTTTCCAACCCAGTTTGAATTAATTCCTCATTATGTAGGTGCACACAATACTTAACCTTTTTGATCTTAAATTTCAGTGTTTCCTGGCTTGTTGAAATTTCTGTTGGAAAGTCTATGTTTTTTTTTACAGTACAGAAGGGAAGGCAGGTGTTTTCCAGATGGATGAAACATAGATTAAAGACAAGATCTTCCCTAATGTAGATGAAAATGCAGCTGCTGAGGTACCCCATCTCACCCACTGCTAGCAGTGCACTCCTGGAGGGAGACCTATTCAGCAGCCATAATAATGACAATGCCAAGGCACATCTTTCAATCTTACTTTGAATAGAGATCTGTTGCATTCTGCCATCAATCGGGTGCAGAAAGGGCCCTGAAGAAGAAATATGTTCTCATCTATTTCTAAAAGCGCCTTCTGCCTGACTAACCAGACAATGGGTAATTGAGCCGGATAGATATCTTTCAAAATAAAGTTATGTGCACAATGTGTTCTCAGCTGAACAATAAGGCACCTGTCAGGTTTGGCAGAGAAACGGCTTCCTGTGACATGTCCAGGGGCCATATCCAGTTGTTATCATTGCAGAGCTGTTTAGGATGTCTTCCGACCTAGTGGGCTCGGAGACGCCCCACTACAACCGTTATGTTGTGTTTGGACACAGAAATTGCCTGTAAAGATATTACAATAACAAACAGTTGTTTGGGGGCTTTGTTTAGGTTTGGGAAATTGCTTAACAGTAGCGGGTGAGTTCAGTCTTCTTGTGCACTGACTGGTCTACTGGTCTTTCCCCTTCTTTGTCTCTGTTCCCACGGTTCTTTGCTACCGGTGTGCAAACTAGTCATGATTTGGAGAACAGCAGAAGGAAAAAAAAAAAACTGGACCTAGGAGTGATGCATTTCTTCTTATTGTACCATAGAAAAATGCCAAAGCATTTGGTGCCTCTTTCCAACAGATCCCACACCGCATCCATGTGACAAGGATCAGGAACCGTGGTCTGGTCTGTGCTGGCCGACCAGCTGACCGGCTGGCTGGCTGGCTGGCTGACTGGTTAGCCAGGAGTCACAATAGGCCTCTCCAGCCAAATCCTGTTGCTTCAAAACCAACCAACCAGCAGACAGGGGATCACATGCTGCCTGCGCCTGTTGTGAGAGCCAGACTCTCTCTTCGTCTTTTCTGCCAGCCTTTGTTTTGATTGCAGTCTGGATTTATGGAAGAATTTAAGCCCACTCATCACTGTCAGGGAAAGCACAGATGCCGTCATTAGGTTGATGTTTTTTTATGAATCGATTCCCTGTTCCACGGGGGATCTGTTTGTGGTGGAGGTGCGTGGATTACTGAGCAGTGTTCATAATTTGTACAGTACTGACAAAGACTTGAAATAAGGCTTTCTTTTGATTTGGGGTATCAAATAGATTTGTAAAATTCCTGATCATGTGAAAACTCCTGAACTATCTACTTCATCAGTGCCAGCAATGCTTCCCACCGGTTTGGAATAAAAAGCAGCAATAAACCTTTCGTATTATTATCTGAGGCATGTTGAAAAATGGCTCCCACGGGATCTTCCACTCCCACTGCTTCAAGGTCAGTGTGTTGGATTCTCTTAGGGTCACTCATAATTTTAGTCTGAAGTGCACATTATGGGACTTCTCATGTGTAATCAGTGTAATGGCATCAAGACAGCATGTTTAACAGCTTTGCTCAGGCGCTGGCGTATGTCATTGTGCATCTCTGGGAACCACAGGAAGACGCCAGCAGCCCTTCACGGCACCATATTTCCACTCTTTATGTGATGTGCACAAATGAGATGTTATGGCCTGTGGTGCATTGCTTAAGGATATATGTGGATTGGCGTCCTCATGTGCCACTCTGTTTGTTTATTTGTTTGTGTCTAGTAAATGTATCGTTGGTTAATCTGATCTTGCTCATGTGGGTAAGCCTTATAGTGGATACAGTAGATTAGACACAGATGGATGATGTGTTTGGTCAGATGTGACACCTGCCATTTAAAGGCATTTTGCCTAGAGATTTCTCCATTGTACTTTACATTGGTTTTTAAGGAGGAATGGGGCAGTTTTCATTGTATTAGTAAATGTCTAAAACTGTCTAAAATAGCTGCTACGCCAGCCCATCTCTTTAACTTGCCACCCTCTTGCCACTCATCCAGTGGCTTTCTGGTGTGCCAGGCACATTTGGATGAAAAAGCACTGCCATGGTTGGAGGGGGAAGCTGCTGGATGGAGCAGATGGTATAATGACAGATGTCAAATGCTGATGGCGACGACACTGTCAACGTCTGCTGATACACATCCGAGCTTCTTAGGGGCCGAGGATGAGGTGAGATGCAGGGGCAGGAGGGAGGTTTAAGGTTTGAGCCCTCTGATGACTGACTTTGCCATCACTGCCTGTACATGCATGGCTAGACCATTAATGGAAAAGATAAGGCATCTGATAG